CTGAATGAGAAATAACATCATAACTATGTAGTATGATGGACTGCAGGGCCGGCGCAATGTGTAACATTTCACACTGGTGCAATAGGACTGGGTGTTTTGTTAATATGATTTATTGGGTTAGGGATTTTCTGTCTTCACTGTGAGTTGTATTGTGTTGGGGGGGGATGCACTGAGGGAGCTCAACCAATATCATTGTACATATGTTGTGCACTGACAATAAAGATTTGAATTTGATTTGTAGGAATCACCACAAATTGATAGGTTTTGTGTCTTATGTTTCCTCTGGCAACAAAGTTTTCTGTGAGTGTCAGCAATAAAATAAAGTGAATGTCGAAGCATGAATATTAAAAGCAAACAGGAGAGATTCACAGATGTTGATTATTAAAGGACATATTTACTGTAATTTAAGAACTAAAGATGATGTGGCAAAATGCAATCCTAAGGTTCTCTTTATTTATTTATTTATTTATTTTATTTTATTCAATTTGTATACCGCCCTTCTCCTCGTGGACTCAGGGTGGTGCACAGCCAGAACTAAAACACATACCAATACAAAATTTAAAATTTTTAAAAGAATTTCATGACTTTGGCCCAAAATTTAAAACATTCAAACTAAAACCCATTGACAATTTAAAAAGCTAAAAATTATAATTATATAAAATTGTATGAAAAAAGTTCCTGGAAGAATGCAATGAAAAACCATTTCCAATCCATATCAGCACTATGAAGACTGCATAGAAATGTGGTCATCAGGAATCTGTTTAGGTAGATTTATGGTCTGATTTAGAACCTGTTTTTGCTACTGAGCCAACAAGTAGGTTGATTATAAATAGGTAGTATTATTTTTACATATTAATAAAATAAAAATGAACTTAGAATAGAATAGAATTTTTTATTGGCCAAGTGTGATTGGATACACAAGGAATTTGTCTTGGTGCATATGCTTCAGTGTACATAAAAAGAAAAGATACATTTGTCAAGAATCATAAGGTACAACACTTAATGATAGTCATAGGGTACAAATAAGCAATCAGGAAACATCAGTAAGGATACAAGCAACAAAATTACAGTCATACAGTCATAAGTGGAAGGAGATGGGTGGTGAGAACAATGAGAAGATTAATAGTAGTGCAGACTTAGTAAATAGTTCGACAGTGTTGAGGGAATTATTTGTTTAGCAGAGTGATTAAATTGCATAAATACACATTTGCATATAACAATATATACAATTTTAAACTGTTTATTAATAGGAATATAAATCTTATTTATACAAGAAGGCAAGCATTTACACACGAAGAACAGAACTTGTAGGCATTGTTATCCAGACAATTAACATATTGAATTAACTTTGCATATTGAGTTTCGGAGGACAGCACACTTTTTGAATTATTTATTTGGCTACTTTTTCATAATGACAGAAACACGGTAAAACACAGTATTCTTTCTGTGATGAAGGTGAGACACTGTTCTGACTTACACACAGAGTTTGTTGCTTTAAGAATGCAGATGGATTTTCACTTAGTGTGAATTATGATTAAGACATGATTTTGAAATAAAAGCAAAGGTTTAAAATCAGCTTTTCCAAAACTTTTTGTGGAAATATGTATTGTCTGGGACAACATTTATTCATTTGATTCTATATTATAACTCACAGTAGTAACATTGGACATCTTAAAAGCATTAAATACAGAAAAACACAGCATACAGCTGGGTGCCCAAGCATAAATAAAAAACCCACTTATAGAAAATGCTCCCAGATGTACAGTATAACTAAAAAAAATATTTTCCAGAGGGACAAGGAACATCACTGCTCAAAAAGAACTGGACAGACACACAAAAGACAAAATATTCACTAGTGAGATTTGGGAGGAGGGAGGCATAAAGTATTTGTGGGATGGGTGTAGCTATCTGAAGGGTTATACATCTTATTTATTTATTAAATTAACACCCATCTCACTGTAAAAAACAACTCTGGTTGGTTTACAGTTAAGATCATAAATATAAAAATATTAAAAACATTAAATACAGAGAAGCAAGAAAAGCAAGATCAGTATGGCAGTCATAAATCACATTAATTACTCTTAATCATAAAATCTGTAATACTTTGCATAATAAAACATTCTGTTTGCCCCCCCCCCATAGCTCACATTGCCTCTCTGACTATTGTCAATTTTTTCAGTTATTTTATAATAAAATATTTAATAATGATTTATAAGTGGCTACAAACAGATTTCGTAGCATTGTTCTATGCAGTTCATTTACAATACTTTTCAGAATAGTTCAAAGAAGATTATTCCAGAATGCATTGCAGTTCTCACATTTTTAATTTATTGTTTTCCGCTTATGGTTTAAAATCACCTCTATTGACCTTTAAGCATCACTTAAAGGTCAATAATTCCTATAATGTTCTTTCCACTTTCCTCCATTCTGCTCTCAGAGCTAGTACAAGATGTCATGGTGGCTTTAAACAGTCTGTGTGGAGGAAAAAGGAAGGTCTGTTTTTTTTAAAAAAAAATCCCTAATCACAGAACACCTTTAATTATAAAAAAAAAATCTTATTTTTTGCATGTAATTTGGTTTGGGGCCTTCAGAGGTGTGTTGAGTCAAAGTCTATAGCTATGATTGCCAGAAGACTGAGAGAAAATGAAGAGCACTTGCTTAAAAAGTCTGATGGCTGCATTTCAGAGTTCTTGATGGATTAAAGCTGATCTCAACTGTAGAGAGATTCTATTAGCAAACTAGTTTAAATTAGTTTAAACTAGTTAAATTAGGATTGTATATTCAAACCTCACCCACATATGCTTCAAAGTCCCAGCATTAGGTCCATCACAGCCCTTAACCCTCTCGTCTCATAATACCCCAAGATTGTTCAACTGTGCTATAAATACTGAATCATAATAGCTTTGTCAGCTTAAGGCCACTAATAATAATAGCAATAGAACTTAGATTTATATACTGCTTCACGGTGCTTTACAGCCCTCTCTAAGCAGTTTTTACAGAGCATATTGTCCCCAACAATCTGGGTCCTCATTTTACTGACCTCGGAAGGATGGAAGGCTGAGTCAACCTTGAGCCTGGTGAGACTTGAACTGCTGGCAGCCAGCAGAATTAGCCTGCAGATTACCTTGTGGTAAATAAAATCTGATTCCTAAAATGTGTGTTAGATCTTGAATTTGTACCTCTTGAAATCCTTGCTGAACAAGATGTGAATGTTAATTATTGATGTTGAATTACCATTAGAATCTGTGAGCAGGAAAAATGTTCTTCTTTTCAAGAATTATCCATAAATATCAAAATGTTTGCCATTTAGCTCAAGTAACAGTAAAATCATTGGTAGTGCCAATGTCCTTAGTGAGCAAAATGCTGAAATTAGCCAAACATGACTTTGAGAGAAAAATAGTAGAGCATTGATATTCTGCAAGTTTAATAAAGAGGCTCATTAATTTTGTGGGGTTTCTACAATTCCCGTAATAGTTGAATGAAAATTGAACAGTCACTTATATGCCCCCTGAGTTACGTGTTCTCCTAGCTGTTTGTTTGCTAACTCTGCCCTTTGGCCATTTAAACATTCTATCACCCCCACCACTAACCCTATTTACACAAAGCTGAGGCTGACTTTGAAGAAAGTCTGCTAAACAAATGTTACTTCTTTAACTCTCTGACCCCGATTGACCCTGACAAGTCATATCTAAATTGGAAGGAGGAAGATAGGGCTCTTTGCTTGTGTCATTGTCTCTTCCTCTTCCATTTAAATTGTTCATGCCTACTATAATGGCTTCCTGATTAGGATTTTCTTTTTTTTAAAAAAAAGATTCATATCAAACTAAATAACAGGAAGAGGAATAAATCCGAATAACAAAAGGGGGGTGGAGATGAGTTTATATTGTGAATAAAATAACTGCAACTTTGGAAAAAAATGGTTTCAATTTCTTTTTCTTCACTCCAGGGGTGGGTTCCACTTACCTTTACTACCGGTTCGCAGCGGGAGCGCACGCACTTTGGGCATGTGCAGATCACCCATGATAACATCATGGTGGGTGGGTGGAGCCTCCTGCTGGTTTTACTACCAGTTCTATAGAACAGGACCGAACCGGGAGCAACCCACCACTGCTTCATTCTGTCAAAACAAAACAAAAAACATGAGAATTTGACAAATCGCACACCCTTTGCTGCACGTCAGGTGTAAATTCATCCTTCCGGTGTCATATAATAGTTTTGGCCATTTCCTACATTCTTGATAGCCTGATAAATTACATATTTTGGGGATATAACCAAGAAGAATATAGACACCTTGCTTTGTGTGTCAGCCTTCCCTCTAAATAAACTACCAGAAATAGTCTTAATACAAATCAAAAAGTGTCTTACAAGAGTTTTAAAAAGTTCAGTGATACTTTTACCAAAAATGATGAGTTTTTCTACCAATATGAGAAGTCAAGCACACAGAAATTGCAGGATAGCAAATTCCTCTGGAAACAAAAAAATCCCATCTCTGCCTTTGATGTACTATAACCATTCCCATTTATATCATGGCCTCCTGTGACTCTCACCCCTTCAGAAAATTGCCTATCCCTTTCATAAAGAAAGAACCGTTTCCCTGAATGAAGCAATTGGTTACATGAACCAACGAAAAGAAGTGGCTGTTTCAAAGAGAGTGGTACATGGTCCATGAACAACATGGTTGTTATAAAGCTTCTTTATGAAATAGAAAGAGATGCACAATCCTTTTTGAGGGTTTTTCAAAAAGTAGGAATAGAAGCTGAATACATTTCATTTCATTTCAGCATACAAATGCTTATATACAATTCCCCAAATTAATAATTTGCAGATGTACTATAAGTGATTTTCATATGCAGTTTAATACATAATTCAATTCAGCACACATTATCCTTGATCAGATTAATTTCTTTTCAAAGTTAAAGATTTTTTTGTGTGTGTCATTTAGACAAGTGACATTTAATGACAATTTCTTTCAAGTTTGTACTTCTTTCCATTTTTTTTAGGAAGTCCTCCAGCAACTGATCATAATGAATTTGCCAAATGTTTTAACAATTGGCAAAGATCCTCTCTCTGGTAAGTATCTTGGTAACATCATGACCCCTTTTACTTTAAACTAAATGTTTTACTATATACTGTATAACCACACAAATGTTTTATATGAATGTTGTCAGGGTTCCAAGTAACATACCTACAGGAAACAAAATTCCGTGGCAAGTAGATTCCTCAAAGAATAGTTTTATTGGATATGTCATATTGGTTTGAGCTAGTGAAAACCGACTCTAAACCCACTAAACCCACTAATTTTATCTAAATTAAAAGTAGAAGTTTTTCACTTTCTCAAAACAATCAATCCAGGGGTGGGGTTGAAAAATTTTAGCAACCGGTTCTCTGCCCAGTTGCTGGGTGGGCATGGCCATGGGAGCGTGGCCTACTCGGCCTCCTACACCACGGCAGGGGGGGGGGCATTTTCACTCTCCCCAGGCTCCAGAGGCTTTCCTCAAGCCTCCAGGAGGGCAAAAACTGCCTCCCCTGGGCTCCAGAGGCCAGAAATGGGCCCGTTTCAGGACTTCCGGAGGGCCCATTTTTCATCATCCCAGAGCCTCTGCGCAGGCCCTGCACTTACCTCGCATCCAAAATGGGCTGCGTGGAGAGTCCTGGGAGGGGGTGGGTGGGGCCAGCCATTCCTTGCAACTACTGGTTCAGCAAACCATATGTAAAATTAGCATCCAGTTCGCCCGAAATGGTCTGAAATGGCTGAATCCCATCCCTGGTCCAATCAGGATACAGCCCAATTGCTAGATGACTTCAGTCCCCTCCTTCAAATCACCTGCTGGAATGTCCTTGGTTCCCAAGAGAAAGTATTTTGTTTTGGCTACAAACCCCAGCTATCTCTACTTGCCCCTCCCTATCCCTTAGCTCCAGCTGTGGCAGCATTGAAGCCTCAAAAAGGTCACAGTCAGGTCAGCTTCGGGGTTGACAAATGTTTTATTACATATAATTTAACATTAATTTAGCAATGAAGAACAGGGTAGGCAGAATAATGGCACAAATTAAAAATGGTGTATGTGCATGTATACTGTTTCTGTCAAACAATAGAGACCTGTGCCCTAAGAGTCATTTGGGGGAGAATGTAATCTCCTGTATGTCAGCATTGTTTTATTGCAGTCATCCCAGAAATGAGACCAAGGGACTGTAGAGTTGTGATTTTAGCTGCAGCTCTTCTTCCCTGCTATTTGCTGCCAGCTTAGGCAGCAGAGGGAATGTCTATGTCTAAAGACAGGTTACCATGGTGATTTTTTTTTTTTTTGCCCTTCTGTATTTTTACTGTAGGATTTTGCAGTGTCGGATATATTTTCCAAGGCTTGAAAAACAGGAAACTCTTAGATACCAGCATGTAGTCTAAGTTGTCAGTAATGGGCATATTACACTTATAAGTGCCTACTTTTTCTAGGCTAATCAAAGAAAACAGTGCAGGTAGTCATGAACCATTTAATTAACCATTGTTTGAAGTTACGATGGCACTGAAAAAAGTGACTTATGATCAGTTCTTGCACTTACAAACATGGCTATGTTCCTGCAGTCATACGATCAAAATTCATGTGCTTGGCAGGAAGCGTCTACTTACAATGGCTACAGTGTCCTGGGATCATGGGATCACCATTTGCAACCTTCCCAGGGGGCTTCTGACAAGCAAAGTCAGTGGGGGAAGCCAGATTGCTTAATGATACTGTGATTTACTTGACCACAGCAAAAAAAAATTATAAAGTTGGACATGACTGCTTCACTTAATGACCCCATCGCTTAGCAACAGAAATTCCTACCCTGGGGGCGGGGTATAAGAGAGCCCTATATGGAATGTTTTCTAATACAGATTAGCATAAAGAACTTTTCTGCATCTTCAGGTAAAATTTTACCTTTTCTAATAATGGGCTATGGGATACTGAGCAGTATTTTTGGTCAATATTTGATGATGGGGAGGTGGTTCAACTACAAGGCTCACAAGGTTTCATCCATCAAGGTATTATTATCATAATTTCAACTAGACATTCTACTCTTGCTTTTCCACAGGAGAAAGATATAAATTTTAATCTGGATATTCAATTTTGCGTCATGGCTCACCTGACAACATATTCATACAAAAATAATGGCAACCCTTGTAATGCCAATACTTAGTTGACTGAGCTAAGCAGAATAGTACCTGGTTACTACTTGGATATGCTAACAAATTGCTAGGATTATAGGCTGACTTCAAAAAGCAAGGTCTTTCTTCTTCTGTACAATTGCCAAGAAAACTACATAGAGAGGAAACCTTGAATTTAGCAGAAGTCAAGTTTTATGCAGAAGATTTTATTACATAATTGGTCTTTTGAACATGTGAATCAATATAATAATCCACTAGGAAGGTGAAATTAAGACTTATTTTTAAAGCCCAATAAAATACTGAGCATAACTTGTGGACTCAATTCTGCTTTGTAATTCATATGTCGTACAAGAACTTGTATTAATAGATGTGAGATGGTGGGAAATGCACAGGAACATGTACATACACACAACCACATCCACACAGAGTTACTTCTACAAGGTAAATTCAAGTCAGCAATCTTTCTTATTTCTTATTATACAGTGGCCTTAGCTTAACAAACTAGTACAAATATAAATATACATGTGTACACACACACACATGCATATATTTATATACAGAGAGGAAGGGAGGAAGAATATATATGTTATAAACTCTCTTCATTAGTGCAGCTGACTCTTCTAGCAATTGTAGATCTTGATAACACACTGCAGTCCATAAAGCCGGAACACCAGCAATCTCTCCCATGGCCTTATAGATCTGCCCTTGTAATTAATTTTCACTATTAGGCAGACATTTTTCTAAATTCTCTTAATCTTCTGAAAACCTTTTAGGGTTTTTTTTGTTTGTTTTTGCAATTTTTTTTTTAAAAACACAGACAAACATACAATACATCTTTTCGGAACAGACCCCAAAAAAACCTTTTAGGTTTCATTTTGCATAGAGCTGATATATAAACAAAAGTCCTTCATCTTGAGACAAATTTCAACACTTGTCTCAATCAAGGCAACTCCCTCTACCATAAAGATAAACTTGGCTGTGTGGACCAGATCATTGGAGCATGCTCAAGTCTATAATATCAATTGCTCAAGTGGTTTGTTAAAAACAAGAGCAGATTCTTTTTTTAAAAAAAATGGTCAAAATCTAGTATTTTTTATACTCAAAAAGATTTCACCCCGAGGAAAGTTTGTTTTATTAGAATGAAATATTGTAAATGTTTTAACATGTCAGCTTGATGGAAAATGAAACATGCACTCTTATATTTATTTTAAACCAACTTGTTTCTTTCATATTTTGTGTTTCTCATCTTCTGTGGAGGATGTGAAAGGGGTGCTTTGGCTTATAGAATTAGCTTCATCTTTGATAAAACTTGGCATATAGAGATAGCCAGGTAAAGCTTTTGAAATAGCCTTGCCATAAGATGTGGCTGCTTTAATGATTTGAACAAGACACTTCGTTTATATTCCTACGTGTTGCAAAGCACCTTTTCAAATGCTTTGTGCAGTGGTAATACACTACAAAGAGCCTTCCTAAAGTGGCATCTTAGCCAGTTTTTCTTTATTGACATGTAGCCTGCATTTCTCTTGAGCCTTTGCTAGTAATTTGTTTGGCTACAGAGGTGCCACAAAATGCTTTCCAGTATATAACAACTCAGAAGTTACAGTCTCCATGCTAAACTAACGGATTATTTTGAACTATTGCTGAGAAGTGATGCAGAGAAAAGCGCTGCAACAAGACTGATTTGTCCTAGAGCAGGATAGATCAACTACTTCAGTTGATAGCACTGACGATATCGGCAAAAGGAGTTGTGGTTTGATTGATATAGAAGGCAAAGCATTGAACATTTATTGGTAAAGCATTTCAATTCATTTTGGCAACACTAATTGAATTATGTTTATAATAATGTCATCTATCAGACCACACTCAATAAATTGACAGATCCTCCTTATATCATTCAAATTTACCACCGTTTGTTGTCGAGTAGCATATAAGATGTTGAAGAATGAGGAAATTAATCAAGTAAATATTGGATTTTTCATTCCTTTTTTAAAACAGGTTTAAGCCTATTCAATCCATAATTTCTATGAAAATAAACCTTTCACCCAGTAATCTTGAGTGCATCGAATGTCTTAACTTTAAATCGGTGTTTCCAACCATTTCTTCTTTATTCTCCTAATCTTATTTCTTTGTCATTTTATCTTTGTGTTGTGCTGTAATCTCTTTGCTGCCTCCCACAAAATCTTACCATCTGTTTCTACCCTATTTCTCACACTGTGAGAATGGGGGCCCTTCTCTGGTCTTATACTATAGAAAAGCTTCTAGACTAGATTTTATTCCCTAAAGATCTAAAGACCTTAGCCCATTGTGGGGAGCAGATGGTTGTACTACAAATCCCTCCATTTTAATTACCTAGTTAGCTAGTGTGAAAGCAGCTGCCTTGGAATTTTTGGAAAAGGAAAATGGCACTGAGTTAATTTTTAAAGCAGTGATGGTCTTGTAGGAGACCCCATTCTTCAAATTTAAAAGATGGAGCATTCTGTGGTCCCTTCAGTTTACAATCCATTGTGGCAATCCATTTTTGCAGGGAAGATAGTTTTTACTTCATCAGATGTGTAAACTGGACCTTGATTCATATATAGTTAAAAGCCTGGGAGTTTGTGAAGCAGAGATGTAAGCAAAGAAGGAAGGACCTAAGAGATAATGTATATAATGCTGCTGAATAAATTATTAATGGAAAGCATAATCAAAATGTGTGCTACCCTTTTCATATAGAATGTAAATGCTGAAGAATTACTTCAACACTATTCAAAGGACATGAATGATTGCTTGCTTTTTTGAAATTTACAGTCAGAATCCTCATTTAAATAATGACATAATTTGTTGAATCTGTTAACCCAAGTTTCTCTTTCACAGTCTCCTTACAAACCTGCTAACTATTACAGTTGTAATGCCAGAATGATGTCTGGAAGGAATTATCTAGTTTTTCCTAAATATATATTTGAAGTTAATAAAGAAAAAAATACATTGTGGGTGGGAGAGGGAGGGAGGGAGGAAGAGAGAGAGAGAGAGCAGGCAGACACAGTGAGTAATCATTTTTAGAGGCAATAGATTTTTCCAGAGTGAAACATCAAGCCACAATGGATACATGGTACCCATTAATTCTATGTCAGATGAGGGTATTTCATCTTTGTCCCCATCATGCCCATCTATTCAGTGTTTAGTAGAGAAAGCTAAAAATAAAAACAGCTACCTTTTCTAAAACAAGTGAAAGGGTAAATGTTGAAATAGTAGCTAGCTTCTAGTTTTCTTTTTAAGGTGACCTAGAGGGAAATAGAAGAATTGTCATTACATGTACACCCAGTCCCATCTTATAAAGGTCTGTTACTCAATGACTTCAGCCTCCTCCCGCTATCTCCCAGGAGCATTTAATAGGCACAATTATTTCAGGGAGCATGTGATTGTATTAGCTCGACTGGAACAAGGAGGATGAATTTCAGTCATGCAAAACTAGACATGAAAGAGTAACACATTGTTCCCCTAGAGTAGGTCAATTTACAGAGTCTATAGCTTGGGAAAGACACATTTATTTATAATTCTACATAAACTAAATTTAACAAAGAAATGTTTAACAAATAACACTTAAATTAGATGTTTGTTAGATTAAAAGATGTTCTGTATGCTGTAATTCAATTAGTATGGATCATAATGAATTATTTCCAGCCTTTTAATCATATTAAATCCAATTCCATTTATAACATTATACATTGTTCTAAAACTCAGTTATATAACTTAGGGCAGTTATGAGATCTACAGTTATAATTTCAAATTATAAGCAGTTTATATTCTCTATCAGAAATATAAAAATACAACATAAAACCACCTTGTATGTGATCCAAATTTAAGGATTTGCAGTCTCCTAAACAGCAGTTTGCCACTGATTTTAAATTGTACATGATATACTTTTTAAAATAAAAACCTTCATAATTTTTAGATTAATGGTCAATTTTTTGCTTCTTAGGTAAAAGTATGGATGAAATTAAGAAGCTGCTACTTTTGGTATTGGGTTGTGCTGTACAGGTAAGTTTGGTTTTGATTGCTATTAATTCATTTGAATTATTTTCTTAAGAATTATATGAGGCTGTAAGCCATATTTGGTTAAACACAGTTTGCAATCATCTCAAAGGAGGCTTTTTCCCCCAAAAGGCAACTGTACTGTGTGTTTTTTTCCTTGAGGAAGAAATGTTTTTTCCTTGAGGAAGAAGACATTTCACTTCTCCTCCAAGAAGCTTCATCAATTCTGATTAATGGTTGGAGGGATGGAAGGATTACGGTCAGAACTAAGCCTTTCATTTCCCTCCACATAAACACACACACTATCCGCCATCTTTGAGACAACTATGACTTGGATGATTAAGAATCTCCATAGCCAGTTTACAATCCAAGATAATAAAGCTGTCATAAAATCTCAAAAATAAAAATATAAACAAAAAGCACGATTTTTAGTCATGCTGCAGTGAGTGACTAGTGATGGCTAGCTTTAAAGAAAAAAAAAAGTCTTGCCCTTTAATATTTAAACATTTTGAGAGCAGGCTTCACAGTTCTAATTTTCAGTTTCCTTAAGCGTAGCTAAATACTGCTATTCTCTATGTAAAATAAGGAAGACTTTGGCTGCCCATTGATGATCTCACCATTAACTATAATATACATAATATAATATATTATGCTTTGTTCTATTCTATTATATTTTAATGTTTAAATTTTTAATTCTAATCATAATTTTAATCATAATAAAATATTGATTGATTGTAATTTAGAAAAGCCATGAAGATAATTCTGCTTGAGAGTGCATTTAGGATATTATAATTGCCACTGAGATTAGGGGGTACAGGGCATTGCTATTAATTTGGTATTTTTAATTGTGTTTTAATTATTGGACTCTGTGCTTTGATTTGTATTGTAAACCATCAGGAATCACTTTGGAAAAAGGCAGATTGGAAATAATTATAATTCCAACACAATTTGTTTATAGAGATTATAGGTTACAACACAATTTTAAAAAAACTGGAAAAATAGCACTAGTAATAGCAATAACATTTTGATTTATATTGCTCCAGAGTGCTTTACATACATTCTGAGTGGTTTACAAATGTAAGCCTATTGCCCCCAACAGTCTGGGTCTGAGTAGAAGTATAACTGAGTAATTGTGTCATGAGGTATATATACACCTCCAAATTAGGCTATATAACAACTGCATGGTAACTTTGATAACAGAATACTTACAGTCTGACTCCTTCTCAATGCTGTTGATTCACCAAAAGAAATAAAAATTGCTCATTTTTGATACAATTTGGTAAAAAATAATTTATCAGGTGAAATAAAATATCAAACCAAAGCAAATCATTTTCTATAACCTCTTCCATCCTAGTAACTTGCTTATGTAAAAGAAAATCCATAGTGGTACAAAGTACATAATATAGAAAAACTTTTTTTTCAAGTTTAGATAATTTGAACTAAATGACATAAGCATTTTAGAGTTAAAAATACGATAGTTGGTTTTCCCCATCCTATAATTAAATAGAAGGTTACTGCTGTTATAATGTAAACTACACTTTGTGTTTACTCAAAAAATAATAGAAGGAAATAACTCTGTGTAACATCTTAGAGTTTATTTTCAAAAGATACTCCTCACAGCAACAGTTTTATGATGTTTTAGACTGATGCAACATTCATACCAAACACCTTTTGGAGGCCAAATCAAAGTACCACATAGTTGTAATAGAGAATTAAAACTAAAAATTCATTTTATCTTGTCCATTAATGTTAAAATCACATTGAAGCTCATAGCTGTACAGAATTTTGAAATTAGATTTTTGTGTCCATTATATTGCAGTAGCATGTGCTAGTAAAATACTAGTAGAGATCTTACGTATTCACTGGCTTATTTCACACAGTATGCATACATTTCAGTCAGTATATAAAATTTTACATATATTAGTATTCAAATGTAAACAATGACTATTTTAACAACTCTCATATATATGTTGAAATTTCAGAAGAAACACCTTATGTTCCAATTTCTGAGTTTATGTTATGAAAGCTGAGAATTATACTTCAAACACCTGCAGGGTAAATTTGATGTTTTAAGTATTCAGATGCTCTTAGCAGCATTTACCAGATTTAAACATTCATTCAGTTGAGTTATATTTTATTTCCAATTATTCAGTCCCATGTGAAATTGGCAAAAGCCATAACGGTTATGCACAAGAAGAATAGATTAACTGTTATTGGAAAGGTTGTATAAAGTGAACACACAATTCTGCTAAAATAACTATGGGAACCAGAATTTAAGGTCAACCTTTTTGTTACATGGTTAGGATTTCAGCAGTTGGAAATAATTTATTAACTACTTAAATTATACTTGACACAAACTTTCTAAATGGTGATGAAATTTCTTACCCCTCCCTAGTTGTTACATTAATATATCATTGAACTTCTAAATATTCAGAATAGTAAAAGTGCTTTGTATTTGTGAACCTGATAAACCTGTGTAGGATGCATTCATTATTATTATTTGTTTGCTTACAGTGTGAAAGAAAAGAAGAATTCATTGAAAGAATAAAGCAGCTAGATATTGAAACTCAAGCCGCAATTGTTTCACATATCCAGGAGGTGACATTCTAATTACCTTAAAGTTCTAATAATGTTTTATAATAAAACCTTTCTGTTGTCCAGATTATGCATTTTCTCCATTTTTCTCCTTTTTTCTAACCTAACCTAGCAGTTAATTGTTCTATTGCTACAATTCAGTTCATACCCAACAACATCCTTTTTAAAAAAATGTCAGGAGACTGAATAACAACACCAAGGGTAATGGTATATATCAGTGATGGCTAACCTTTTCTGGACCAAGTGCCCAAAGCGTGCCCAAACCCCCAAAATGCAAAGTGTGTGTGCCCCCTGCACAGTGCCCCACCCTCATGCATGTGTGCGCCCCGTGCACGTGCCCCACCCTCCTGTACATGCACGTCCTGCCCTCCCACACATGTGCATGGGGCCCCCGCACGTGGCCCACCCCCAGCACATGTGTGGCAGAGACCCGAAGACCAGCTGGCCAGCGGGAGGTGCGTGCGCATGTGCGGCGGAGCCGAACTGGGGCAACGGCATGCATGTCATAGATTCGCCATCATAGTTATATATGATCTTTCCACCTGAATGTTGCTTCACCAACATTTAGCTATTCTTCAGGGTTATATAATACAATCACATTTTTTCAGTCACAGGACTGAAAGTATTCTTGTCCTGTAATTCTCATTATTGTATTTATATTCAGCTTTTCTCTTGAGAACTCCAGGCAGGGTACATGGGGCGGGGGTGTTTCCCCTCATTTTATCAACCCCACAACAACTCAAGCTGGTTTGAGAAAGAGAGTGACTGGCTCAGAGTCACCCAATCAGCCCACTACTGAAGTGGAAATTTAAACCTCAGTCTCCTAGTCTAAATTCAACACATCAGCAATATCACAATATTAAATTGATGATTAATGTTGTTTGCATCAGTATGTTGATTTTTTAAATATTTACCACATTGCGTGGATGAAGAAATAAGGCCTTACTGCAAAAGTTCATTATTTTTATTTTTTTTAAATTGCTCTTTGATTTTTAAATAACTATTCCAAAACTACAGCTATATTTAATTTCATAATGCAAATTTTATTTATTTTGACCACTGGTTATTAACACATCCATTTCGACTGTTTTATTAGCTGTGCTAAAATCCTGGATTTCCAATTTTTATAGCCTTAGAATAAATACAATGTATTTTCACTAAAATAATGCACATATGATAGCAAAGGATTTCATTTATTGCCTACAACTACCAAAAGCAGGAGCAGTTTGCCTGGTAACTTGGATTCGCCAACATTTTGGGTATCCTTCTCCAGTCTCCTCATTTCCTCATCCGAAGCCTCCTCAGCTATTGTTTCCTGCTGTTGGAAGTCAAAGTGGTCGGGTTTAGGAAGAATAATTTGATAAATCAAAATAAAAGTATTCCTATTGGCATAAAGAAGTATTACAACCGTTTATCGTAAATTATACTGAAAAGTTATTAGAATCTAATTTACTTAGTTGGCATTCTTAAACATCACTATGAGAACAGTGTGTACATTGCAATTTAAGCGTGACAGTCTGGGCAGGGATAACACGTGCAGATGGGTTTGCAAAAATAGAATAAGCCAAGAGAAAAGACCATGGTGAAAAAAAATCTTAATAAGTCTTTCCATCATTAAAAGTGGGTTGCTAAACAGCAGACTATGGTCTGGTACAATTTCTTAGGCAAGCTTCTTATGCTAGTGGGTGTGGCTAACAAATCTGTGCAGTTTGGTCTATTGTTCATTTATTATATCAAGGCCAGGATCAGACTTGTTGGCTGAATCATCTATTATTCATACCTAACAATAAACAAACGTTCATGGCTTTCTACCCTTCGTACTTTCAGGTAACCCATAATCAAGAGAATGTATTTGACTTGCAGTGGTTAGAGTTACCAGCTATGGCTCCAGAAGAACTAGAGTCTCTTTCCAGAAATATGGTTTTTCACCTTAAGAGGCTGATTGATGAGAGAGATGAGTGCACTGAGGTGTGTATTAATATGCTGGCATCTTTTGGACTTTAATTTTCTCTTAACACTGTACTCTCATATTGGATTGTTTCATTGTTTCTCAAATATGAGCTTTTTATAAAATAAAATTTTATTTTATAAGACACCCTTTTATTTTTTTCTCTTTATTTTTCTCAAAATTAATATAAAATAGGTAGTAGTATTCTTTTGGCCTGCTTACAAATATTAACATTAAGAAGTTAAAATCTGGTAAAATTAAAGATTCCTTTAAGTTAACTCTGACTCCTGGTTGGCACCTGGTTTAGGAGGATTTTGCATTGTTTACTCTCCTGCATTTGAGCCATTCTGTACGTTCCTTAAATTTAGCACTTATTCTGTATAATAAAAGGCTTCCCTAACTTATTTTCACTCACCATTTTTTATCTGTGCATTGAGACACAAGAATCTTTGCCTTTGATATCAGCTCTTTTAAAAACCTTCCTGTTTTCTGCAAGATGGTCTCACATTAGGAATGAAACTAAATGTGACTGTGTGACTTAATGTGACTAAAGGAGGCCTGTCTTCCACATATGGGCTGGTGGTGATGATATAGGAAATGGAGATGTGTGGGAAGACTAAGTGTAATAGCAAAATATTGTGTTGATGAGAACAACACAACAGTTGTTCTTTCTTATTTTACTTCCCCTCCGTCTGTCTTCTTCCCCTTGCAGTTTTCTTCTAGTTGGAGTCATTTGGTAGAATCTGAATTTCATGGACAAAAAAGTACTTGGGAATAAGTTATGCAAGTTAAGATACAAAATATAGGCATTTTTGGGGATTTTTGCTCCCCACTGTACTCTTTCTTGCAGAAGGTTCACTAGAGCCTCTTGATCTCCTGCTTGAGCAAGAGGATCCTATACAGGGGATCCTATAGGAGTAGGAGCTCCTATACCAAGAATCCTGGTACAGGATCTCCTGCTTGAACGGGGTTGGACTAGAAGACCTCCAAGGTCCCTTCCAGCTCTGTTCTGATTGAAAGATAATAAGGAAAGGATGAGTTTACATTGGTTTATCAGAAAATAACTTTTTAAATGTTTTTAAAGCCATTGCCCCATGCTATTGTCAGTATATCCTAAGATTATTTCCATACTGTTTTTGTTAAAAGCGTGCTTCAGATATACTTAAGTTTTCACTAACATATATGCCCTTATAAGGAAGCACTGTACATTTCAGTAATGCATGTTAGAATAGTGGAAAGGAAAATAATAGAAATAGGCAATTCCTAAGATCCCAAACTGAGATTAGGACTTTTAAATCTGTAAATAATTGAAGAAACTAGAAGGAAATGGTGACATCATAATTCTCAAATTGGGTAGCAGCCATCTCTAATGACCATTTCAACATTCCTAATTAGTTTTCTGCATGGAAAATGCTTCAATCTAGAAATAAGTTTGCATGGTCTTTTATGGATAATTATGTGCCTGTATACATTGCTGCCCGTAGAGGTATTGAGGCACAATATGCACTGGTTCACGATATTAGGGAAAGACAGCTGGCCCCCTATCCTGAAATGTTCAGTTGAGTCAATATTTTTCTTTTAAAAGAGTAAAACCTATATGAGTCTTGTATTTCCTCATATATTTTAAGAAGAAAAATCTTAAAGTCTATGTAACTGAATTGAAAGCATCTTACTTTCCTGTAATCTTACTGCCTTCTTTTCCTCCCATAAATTCATGTCAGATTTGGATTACAAATTCCTCAAGATGAAGATATGACTCTTTGTTGTAGCTCCGTGAAGGAACACATGTTAAATAAATCCAGCATCTTGGGTCTGTTTTGTTAAGAGTTCAATTAAGCTTGCTGTAACCTCTTGTATTTGTCTCACAACAATTTTTTATATTTGCCATTTTCTTTTCATAAATCATCTCCTTCTACGAATATGTACATATATGATGCAGTTTTTCCTCATAACTTTTAGTTTTCATTATTTTCCTTCCAGTTGATTGTAGATCTCACTCAAGACAGAGATTACCTGCAGTCCCAACAGCCGTTGAGTCCTCTAAAAACATCAAGTCCAGCTTCTTCCCCAAATCTTGCCAGCCGTCTCTCCAATGAGGATAAGCAGCATTTGTCCGTGGAGCTTGCAGATGTAAAAGCCAAACTAAGGAGGATCAGGCAGGAGCTGTGAGTAGTAATGCAGAACTCAGCACTTTGGTCTGTCCTGATAGTTCTTCATTTATAATATCATTCCAGGATAGGACACCATAAAGAACAAAACATTGTAGGGTTGATTCATTTCTCTCTCCCTCCTACTTGTGCATCTATACACTAGCCATTCCATCCATACACTAGCCATTCTTAACAGTTTGTGTAAAGAATTAGCAGAAAGTTCAACAATGACTTACAACAGTTCATTTAGTGACTGTTCAAAGTTAACGGCACTGAAAAAAGTGACTTTGGATCATTTTTCACACTTATATTGCAACTGACTCACATTTATGATGGTTGCAATGTCCCAGAGTCATGTGATCTCCTTTTGCGACCTTTTGACAAGCAAAAGGGGAAGCCAGAGTCACTTAAAAACTTAATTTAAGAACTGCAGTGATGCACTTAACAAATGAGGTGAGAAAAGTCGTAAAATGGAGCAAACACACTTAACAAATTTCTCACTTAACAACATAAATTTGGGCTCCATTGTGATTGTAACTTGAGGACTACCTGTACACACTTAGAAATGTGAGCAGATGTAAATACAGGAGGTCCTCGCTTAATGACTATTAAGTGTTCCGCAACCATTCAAATTTGTGACAGCACTGAATGAGTGCCACTTAAAACCTGTCCTGAGAATTCTTGCCGTTGCAATGTCCCCATGGCCACATGATCACCATTTGCAGTTTTCTGTGCCGGCTTCAGAATAGCAAAATCAACGCGGAAGCTTGCAGGAGGTTGCAAATGGCAGCCATGTGACATCTGTATTTTCTTTCAGAAGAACTTGCTGAAACCCACTGTTCAGTATCATTGTGATGCCTTTGCCTTTTCTCCACTTTCTAATAATTGTGGCCTCTTTTTCATTGGTCTATGGTCATTGCTGATTTTGTGGATTTAATGACAAGAAAACTTGAACTCTTTTATGTTCCTCTTGCTGAACTTCAGTGATTTCCACATTTGGCAGAAGAGGTACTAATGAACTTGTATGAAATCCTCAGGGAAGAAAAATCAGAGCAGCTTGTTGACACCAGACATGAAGTAGATCAGCTAGTCCTGGAACTACAGAAAATAAAGCAGGAGGTAATGATATCTATTAAATTATAAAGAACAGCTATTAATATGTATTGATCTTAAAGTGATACATACATACATTCACATCCAGTTTTGGGGCTGGTTATCTTTTAACAGGACAAGAAACCCTTCTTAGTGTATTTAAGGAATTCAAACTTAATGAATGGAGAGATCTGAATTTGCAGATCAATTGGCAATTTCAGGTCATTTATCGTTGTGTTAGTTGCTAAGAATTACTGGGCATAGTAATAACCCACAAATTTCATAATTTCTGGCATACACTTATCTTTGTTTTGTGGGAATGAATAGGCATGCAACACAACAACTTGTGCATACTGAAAATAGTATTGTTTCTTAGTCTTGCTCTCCTTATGGTGTTTCCTTTTTTGTTAATAAGTCATTTCAAAAGTTTGCTGTACTGATTTTACTTTGTTCAGAATATTAACCTCATGGCAGATGCCCGCTCTGCTCGAGCCTACAGGGATGAGTTAGATTCCTTAAGGGAGAAAGCAAACAGAGTGGAGAGGCTTGAGATGGAGCTGGTCCGATGTAAAGAAAAGCTTCACGACGTGGATTTCTACAAAGCACGGATGGAGGCAAGTTGGGGGTATAGCAAGAATGGGAAATTTGGCATTTATTGCTAATTTAATCTGATATATATTATATTCTGTAGTTCTTTAGATGAGCACTTGCTACCTAATGGCGTCATACAATGATAACAACATATTTCTTTTAGCAGCCTTTGGACAATTTGATGGCCACGGTCCCATATAAAAGGTGGTTATGACCTATCCTTTCTCTGATTGAAGACACCACCTGAGAGCTGGTCACCCTATATTCTTAATTGTATCCTGTCCTTGATAAAGTTTTTGGGAAACCTGAAAGGGAATATATCATTCCAGCCCCCTTTGCCAGCCTATAAATATAAGTCCACCTGAAGCTTTCTCTTCTCTGTAGCAGAAGACACTGGTAGAAGAGTATGAATACAATTAACACTCCAGCCCAAGTTACTTAAAACTAATGACACTCTTCCTCTCTAGCAAAAGACCTGGCCATAGGTGACAGCTCACTGTTAGATTTGGAATCTGTGCTTGCCTTAAGTCCAGATGGTTAATGATTCTGGTAATCGACAGCATGCTCATGCATTCCATCTGATCACTCTACCTGGGCTGTATAATGCCCAGTTGCTCCTGGAAATACTCATATTCAGATTCTGGTGTGTCACTTTTCTAGGAAATCAACCTCCATATGCTAACTCCAAAATCTGCCCTCAGATTTTCATTTTTGAAGAAGTTCAGATCTCAGAAGTTCAGTGTAATGCTCTACATTTCTGTTTTTAAGTTTACCCATGCCCAGCAAAGGAGGAACCAATTCCAAGTGATCAGGAGAGTTCTCCAAAATATTGCTATTTACTAGTAAATTAGACTGATCAAAAGTATGGCTTTGTGTTTTGAGCAAACATTGCTGGTTTTTTCTGAAAAAAAAATTTATATCAGCCAAGCTGTCATCAAAAAGTAATGATCCTGAATACTAGTATAAAATTAATTTCTTAAGAAGAACCTGTTATTCCAAAAGCAGAACCATTTAATAAAGCTTTGTTCAGAGTTGCAAGTAAGAATACAACTTTGCTTTCTTTTAATGTTCTTTTCTGTGGAATGGCTAAACTGCCTGCTGTGTAATCCCAGCTTATTGTGCAGCTTTCTCAGACATTTAAGAAGAAGAGCTGCAGAAACAGAATCTAGTTGGAGTACCTCTTTTCTCCCTGACTCTCTTAGAATTCATCAACTCATGCTGTTTAGTAAAGTGCTGACTGTTTCTTTGCTTTCAAATTGATTAAGAGATTAAAACTTTTCATCTGCATAGAGAAGAAGTAATAAGTAGTCCATCATTGCATCCTGTCATCTTATCTACAACTGCTAATTGCAACTGTTAATTGGCAACGGGACCCTGAGATCATTTTTGAGATGTGTTGTTTGTTTGTTTACTTATTTCATTTGTTTGCTGCCCATCTCACCTAGAAGCAGTTGCTAGTGTTTCATCAGGCACAATTGTATTTCATCCTTTTAATTATTTTCATAGGAATGTAGGGGATGATTCCATTCTTGTAGGAAAATGCACATGAAAATTACTTTTACATTCTAGCTTTCAAATAATATTTTTGCCAATCTAGCTAAATTCTAACTTTGAGCTCAATAATTGAAGAATTCTATAGATGCAACATTATTTTTCTAAGTCATCCATTGCCTACAGAAAAATATTTCATGGTATGCTATTGATGCTGATATTAAACTGATATTATTAAAATTGGATGGTGTTTGAAACCCTGGTTAAATCATTCAGTGATTTGTGATTTTTTTTTTTTAAATTGCAGGAGCTTAGAGAAGACAACATCGTATTAATTGAAACAAAGACAATGTTGGAAGAGCAATTGATGATAGCAAGAGCTCGTGGTGATAAATTACATGAGATTGAAAAAGAAAATTTGCAATTGAAATCCAAACTTCATGACATAGAACTGGTACAGTGTGATATTTTTAAACATTGGTGGAATTTCTTTTCAAGCTAATTAGTTTTCAGGTGACTGAACAGCGACCTCATACCAAAAACACTCTTTGAAACAGTGCAGTATTTTTTGAAAATACTGAGAATCAAATTGACACTAGCTTGAAAGTATGAAGTTATATTAATGTGTTAAGTTTGTATATTTTAACGGTAATACATATTTCATAGAAGAAACTAAATGTTTAATTGCCACATTTAGGATTAAGGTCTCACCAGATTGCAGTCTTTGTGGCAAGCGAAATCTTTCCGAATGCATAAAATATTTCTCATACATCCCAATTCCAGCCCATAATCAAAGCCTTATTCTCAGAATGCTCATGTTAGACAAAATAGTTTCCAAAATACATTAAGCTTAGGAGGTGTGAGAAGGCAGAATGAGTGTGTAAGAAGCTATGGAGGCTCAGTGTTCTGAAGCAATATGATAGAAATATAGGAGGCAAATGATTAAAAGTTATATTACATTTTGCTTCATACTTTCTTTGTGAGCTCTCTAATTGACCAAAATGAGTAGTGGGATGCTGGCTAAAGCAAATTTTATGTACAATTTATGGCAGTTTTCTTCTGTTCTGGTTAAGAGAAGCATTGTTTTAAAACATAGGAATAATTGACTGATCTACTCAGTTTGTGATTCATCACTAATATAGGCATTGGTATCCTTTAATGTACATTTGAGTTTTATCATTATCTTTCCTTTTTATTCTTATGTATATTAGATTAGTTCTGCTGATATTTACACAGCAAATTCATCTTCCATTAAGAAAAGCCAGACAAGAGGTGATTTTAGAGCCATAATTTTAGATATTTTCATACTGTGCACTAGATGTTCTTCTGTCAAACTGGTGGGGAATGAACATTGATACCTTGGTCAGGATAAACTTCAGCCCCTTATTTAGGTTGAAGAAATTGTAAATATTGCCTTTGCTGCATAGCTTTCTTTGTCCATCATCCAAGGTAGATTATAAAGCTATGTGCCTTGTCCTCCATTAGGACAGGGATACTGACAAAAAGAGAATTGAAGAGCTTTTGGAAGAAAATATGGTGCTAGAAATTGCACAGAAACAAAGTATGAATGAGTCAGTCCACCTCGGCAAGGAACTGGAACAACTGTCAAAGAATACAGATCTCTCGGATAGTAAGTACGACAAATCAGTTTTCTACTCCTAATGTCATATGTGTTTGATTTTTGTACGTTAATTCAGAATTAATGGGAAAAACGAAGAATTCCTATAGTGAACTTGGGTTCATATATTGCAAAATAATCAAAAGTAATTCTGCGTTCCATTCTTATGAGATATTCTTTCTTTCCTTTCTCATTTTTAAAAATGACTCATTTTACTTCATTATGCAGAATAATCCATTATGCAGAATGAGATACTTTTTATTAAGCTGGATTTCCCTTTAACTCCATGTTAATGGATTTAAAAGTGATTATTTTTATTAGTTGTATAGAATGACATTTTAATAAAATAACACTAGCTAAGGTGTACCTTAACCCCCTATTTTTAAATGGACGTTATTTAAATAAATTAAAATTATGTAATATAAATTAAAAATATTTTATTTAAATAAATTAGTCCGTTCTGATCAACAGATTAAGAAATAGCTGGAAATGGATCCATGTTTGCAAATGTGTTTATAGTTGGGCATTCTGGATATTGTATTTCAACAGCAAGGAAATCTTTTGTCTTTGAGTTGAATGAATGCGCATCAAGTCGTATCTTGAAACTTGAGAAGGATAACCAGAGCCTGCAAAATATCATCCAGGAGCTAAGAGATGCATCTGTAGTCACTGAAGAGAATAACCTCAAATTTGTAGAACTACAAAATGAGAATCAACAGCTTGGCCAAAAGGTAAATAACATAATTTATATTTACAGTCACCCAATCAAGTGTGTTTGGAAGCTGTCTACCACAAGACATAGTGTTGGCTACCAGTTTGGTTGGCTTCTAAAAAAGGTTTGGACAATCTATAGCTGTTGGCCTTGAAGGCAGTATAGCTGCCTCTGAAAGCAGTCTGCTAGGAGACAAATTGTGCTCTTGGTTTATTTAATTTAATTTAATTTATTGAATTTATATTGCCACCTATTCACACATGGCGACTCAAGGCAGCTTACAGAATATAAAACCTCATTTAAAACAATAAAACTAATAAAAAAGAATCAAATAAATTAATATAATAAAATAAAATCATCCCTCACCTCAACCCTGGTGACAGCAAATCACACAAGCCATTTAATGGGCTCCATCCCACTCTGGGTTCCCCAAGCCCGCTGGCAGAACCAGGTCTTCAGTGCCTTCTGGAAGAGTGTTAGAGTGGGGGGCATTCTCCATTGAGAGTGGAGACAGCAGCCAGCGTGGGTAGTGCCCATCCAATCAGCTTGAAGGACTGAGCCTGCCAATTTTCCCTAGTCCCGCCTCTGTTGCCGGGCAGGCCAGCTTTTGGCTCAGTCCTTCAGCGCTGGCTGGTGTGTGGGACTGCTCTCTAGCTAAATCTCTTTATTCTTATTTCTAATGTTTGAATTTCTGGTTTTTTGACTTTGGATTGTGTGACTGTGCTATTTCTTTGCTATTTGGACTCTGATTGATTATTCCGGCTGACCTTGGACTGCCTGACTTCGACTTCGTGAGTTACCCAAGTCCCTCATTTGGGCTTCGTTTTCCCTGGCTTAGCCAGGGGTGTGGGGATTCCCTCGCCTCTCTCCCTCCCAAGGGGTTTTAATTTCACCTGAACTTCGAGGGACATTCCCCCTGACTCGAGCTGCCTTCGCCTGCTCCGTTTGGGCTAAGTTTCGATTTCCCCTTATTCTCGGCAATTCGGAGGGCGCGCTGCAGCCGCGCCGGCCATTTTGGACGCCCCTCGCTTTCCCGCCATTAAGGAAGTCGCGGCGCTCCACAGCCTGCTCTCCCCGTAATCAAGCCTTTCAGCTGGGGGTTTTTAGCCTCTAGAAGCCTGCTCCCTCGCAGCCGTTTGCCCTAACTGTTAAAGTGAACTTAAAGTGCTGCTGGCTGTTGATCAATTGAGGAGCCTCGCAACCTTGCATTTCTTCTACTGCGACCTGTTGCTGCTTGCCACCTTAACTGTTTAACTGCCGATCTCTGCAGACTACTAATTGTTGGAGATACATTGCTGGCACAACTATTGCAACTGAGGAGCTTTGCGCCCCCGTTTTGTACTGCAGAGGCCATTATACTTATACAGCATATTATTTCAGTTGTGGAGCTTCACGCCCCCCCCCCTTTTCTCCTGAGGCTGTATTCATTTTTTATACGCTGTTTGGTTTGAATCCTAGTGGGGTCTCGCGCCCCCTCCCCTTTACGTTACACAAACCTGAGAACGGTGGCCTTAATCTGCCAGTCTGTCTGCTAATTTGAGTGATTCTCTCAATTGGTTGGGCCTTTTCTTTTATTACGCTTGTTGTTTGTGGAGTTTTCTTACGCTCCCTATCGAGCCTATTTGATTTACCAAATAGATTTGTCATTCCAGTCTCTGGGCCTAATTGTGGAGTTCCTCTCGCTCCCTTCTGATACATTAAAATATAATTTATCAAAGCGTAATCTGGCGTGTGGGGTCTTACCTTAAAGCACCCCTTGTTTTGTTGCCATGCCCAAGGCCCTTTCTAAATCTAAGCACGGTCGTAAGGCCAGTGCAAGTAAAGTTGGCCAATCAGACTCCACGTCTGTTACCCAGCATTCTGTCATGGAAGATTCCAGGTCCCATTCCAGAACTTCTCAATCCTCACGCTCTCATCACAAGTCTTCCACTCGTGATGTGTCATCCTCTTCCTCCAAGGCAGAAAAACGTAGAGACAAAGTTTTGACCAGGTTATGTGACAAGGCTTCTGCTCAGTTGTCTCCTCCCACTATTCAACCTCCTACCTCCTCTAATCCACCTCCAGCAGCCGCTCACTCGCCTTCTCCTGACCAGCTTTCTCTGCAAGATTGCCCAGTGACTATTTCTGAGGAAAATTTGTGGGGTCCTGACGCAGTTTCTCAACCGGTGCCTGATCCAACAATTGTACCGGAGGTTCCTTCATCTGACCCTGTACCTGCTCATTCCTTGGATCCTTCCATCCTTCCAGGTCAGTTACAGCAAATGATCGAGGCAGCGGTTCAAAAGTCATTGGCCACCCGTTCGGGTCTTTCCAGTCGGCATGGATCGGTGAGAGAGGTTTCCCCCTGTTCGGCGGACCCCAGTGACGAAGGATGTTCTCATTCTGTTCGCTCCGCTTCTCCTACTTCGTCCCACTACAGTCATCCTTCAGCCTGCATCGACGAAGGAGATCCTGCTTCTGACCTGTCGGAGGATGAGAACCTTCCTCCCGATCAGCCCACTTTCACAGGCCTCTTTCCTCAAGCCTTATTCAAATCATTGCTCTTCAAAGCGGTTAATACGGCCCGTCTATCCTCTACAAATGCGGATCCTCCCCCATCGTCTTCCTCTGGTTCCTTGGACCCTATGTTCGCGGAACCAGCTAGACCCATAACATCCGTCCCTACTCCTCCTCTCTTTCTGGACGTCGTTAAACGCCAGTGGGAATCTCCGGCTTCGGCTCCCCTTCCTTCGGCTAATGACAAAAGAAACTTTCAAGTATCCTCGGATCTGGAGACTCTTCTTCAAATTCCTTCGGTGGATGCCCCGATTGCAGCTCTTCTTCCTAACTCCAATGTTCCGGGCGAGCCGGACGAGGGTTTCCGTCCTGATGAACGCAGATCTGATCAAGTTCTTCAAAAGGCCTTTCAAAGCTCCTCCTGGGCGATTAAAGCTACTACTACAGCATCCTTCTTTAATCGTACAACGTTACTTTGGTTGCGCCAGTTACAAGACAAACTAGCCCCCGGAGATTCTCGTATCAGACAGGACCTAAATAAAATCGTAGCTGCCGTACAATTTTCAGCCGACTCCACTCTTCACGCTGCTAGGTTTTCTGCGAAATCTTTGGCTTCGGCGGTCACAGCTCGGCGTTTGTTGTATCTCCGTCACTGGCAGGCGGATGCCAGACATAAGTGGCGATTGGCTTCGGTTCCCTTTAAGGGCACGAAGCTTTTCGGGGATGCCTTAGATCCCTTCCTCACAGAGACCAGGGACAAGAAGAAGGTTTTAGCGGCTGTTTTCCGGCGAGGAGCGCCCCGTTTTTCACCTTACCCCTCTCGTTCCTACTCCAGAGGTGCGGATGGGGGGTCCTCTTCTTCCTTTCCCTTTCCCAATGTTAGGAGAGAGGGGTATTTCAGCAGGCAGCGGGGTTCCTCTGATAGATCATTCAGAGGACGTCCCTTTAACTTTAAGCGGCCCTTTCGAGGGGGAGGAGGTCGTTTCTCCCGTCGCCGTCGCTGATTGCTCTTTGGATCCTCCCATTGGCGGTCGGTTGGGTCTCTTTGCCGCTGTCTGGGAAGAATCCACCTCGGACATGTGGGTCCTCGCCACCTTAAGATCTGGGTTGGCCATTGAATTTATTGCCCCCCCCCTCACACCTTTGTCTGCTGTCCGATTTCTCGTAATCCAGTCAAAAAGTCCCGTATGGATTCATCGGTTCAGCATCTCCTGACTATCAGGGCTATTCAACCTGTCCCTTCCGGTCAGGAAGGTTCGGGATTCTATTCAAGGGTGTTTCTTGTTCCAAAATCATCGGGGGGGTGGCGTCCCATTCTGGACCTCAAACGTTTAAACAGATACGTGGCGTACCGAAAGTTTAAAATGCAATCATTAAAATCTATTCTAGACGGCGTTCGGAGGGGCGATCTCCTCTCTTCCATTGATCTCACCGAGGCCTACCTTCATATTCCTATCCTCCCTTCCCATAGACGGTTTTTGAGGTTTTGTTATGACGGAGCTCACTACCAATATAGGGCTCTCCCATTTGGCCTTTCTTCGGCCCCCCGCACCTTTACGAAGGTGTTGTCTGCCTTGGCGGCTCAGCTCCGTCTTCGTTCAGTCCGTCTCCTCTGTTATCTAGATGATATTCTGTTATTGTCTCCTTCTGTACAGCAAGCTGCCTTAGATATTAGTCTGACGGTTAAGACCCTGGCGGCTCACGGTTTCTCTATTAATTTGGAGAAGAGCCATCTCTCCCCTTCCACTAAGTTAGTACACTTGGGTGCACTGATTGACTCTGTTCAGGGCAAAGTTTTCCTTTCTCCCGATAGACAAGCTAGTCTGAGACAGTTGATTTCCCGGGTTGAGGGGAGTCGGGTGGTTTCCCCCTATGTCCTATCTCAACTTTTAGGTAAGATGATATCGGCGATTGCTATTGTTCCCTGGGCTCAACTTCACGCCAGGGAACTCCAATGGTTTCTCTTGCCCTTGCAGAAGGCCGGCAGAGGCACTTCATCGAAGCCGATCCCTCTCCCGTCTGCGGTGCGAAGATCCCTTCGGTGGTGGCGCTCCCCGGCTCTCTCGGCGGGTTGCTTCTTCCTCGAGCCCAAGAGGGTGGTGGTGACGACAGATGCCAGTCTTCTGGGCTGGGGAGCTCATTGCCAAGGTCAACTGGCCCAAGGGACTTGGTCCCCTTCGGAAGCTCGGCATCCCATCAATTGGCTGGAACTGAAGGCTGTTTACCTTGCCCTAAAATCATTCCGTCACCTGATCTCCGGAACCCACGTCCTTGTCCTCACGGACAACGTCGCCGCGAAGGCTCATTTGAACAAACTGGGGGGCACCAGGTCGAAATCTCTTCTAACCCTGGCAGTTGCATTGGGGATCTGGTCAGAGCGCCACCTGTGTTCCCTTCGGGCAGAACACATCTCCGGAGTGCAGAATGTTCAAGCGGACTGGTTGAGTCGCCGTCAAATAGACAACGCGGAATGGCGCCTCCTTCCGCTCCTCTTTCAGGAACTGACTCTTCGCTTCGGCCGTCCAGTGATCGACCTGTTCGCGACTCACGAGAACTCTCAACTTCCGCTGTTCTTTTCACGGTACCCTCATCCTCGAGCAGCCGGTGTCGACGCTCTTCGGACTCCTTGGCCGTCGGGCCTTCTGTATGCTTTCCCCCCTACGGCCCTCCTTCCCAGGGTCATCCGCAAGATTCTATCCGAGCGAGCGGAAGTGATCCTTGTGGCTCCTCATTGGCCTCGGAGACCCTGGTTTGCGGACCTCGTGTCCCTATCGGTGACCCCATCGTGGCGCATTCCTCTCTTGGGCAACATTCTCACACAAGGCGCTCTGCAGCACCCGGACCCGGCCTGGCTCAATCTAACCGCCTGGAGATTGAGCGGTGCACTTTGAGAGAGGTACAAATCCCGGCTGATGTTGCGCATACTTTGCTATCCTCACGACGGCCTTCTACGGAGCGGATTTACTCGGCCACCTGGCGGAGTTTCTGCAACTGGTGTGGCCAGGTCGGTATCTCGCCTCTTCAACCGTCAATTATTCATATTCTGATGTTTCTACAGAAGGGCCTCTCCCAGGGCCTTTCTCCCAACACTCTCCGCCATCACATTGCTGCTTTATCATCAGTACTTACCTGCGGCTCCTTGTCATCTCTGGCTCATCATCCCTTGATCCGCCGATTTCTTCGGGGAGCGAAGAATTTGTGTCCTCCTATTCTGCATCGCTATCCGACCTGGGATCTTCCTCTGGTTTTACAGTCTCTTACGTGTTCCCCGTATGAACCACTGCGTACTACCAGTCTCAGACTTCTTACCTGCAAGGTAGCCTTTCTGGTGGCAATCACTTCGGCTCGCCGCATATCTGAACTCGCCGCTTTGTCCACCCGTTCGGACCTTTGTGTTTTCCATGCTGACCGGGTGGTGCTCCGTTTAGACCCTACTTTCGTGCCGAAAGTCAACACAGTTTTCCACCGTGCTCAGGAACTGGTTCTTCCAAATTTCTGCCCCCGGCCCGCGCATCCGCGGGAACGTCGTTGGCATTCTCTCGATGTCCGGCGGGCTCTGCGAATATATTTGAAGAGGACGGCTCCCTTCCGTCGTTCGGAGTCGCTTTTTGTCTCCTTCTTACCTACTTCTCAAGGCAGTAAAGTCTCTCCTTCAACCATCGGTCGTTGGATCCGCCAGACTATTGCCTCGGCCTACGATGTTAGATCTCTTCCGCGCCCTTCAGGTTTGACGGCTCATTCCACCCGCAGCGCGGCTACGACTGCAGCTTGGGCTACACAGGCTTCCTTGCTGGAAATTTGTAGAGCGGCCACGTGGACTTCTCCGAGTCCCTTCATCAGACACTACAAACTCGACCAGTTTGCGTCAGCCGAAGCCTCGTTTGGTCGCCGAGTTCTGCAAAGAGTGGTTGCTGGAGAGGACAATGCGGTCCAGCGTGATCCCCCCCTATCTTCGGGACAGTGAACTTGGGTATGTCCCACGCTGGCTGCTGTCTCCACTCTCAATGGAGAAGGATCGTTGGTCTTACCTGATACGTTCCTTCTCGTTGAGTGGAGACAGCAGCCAGACCCTCCCTTTCTCTTCTTCAAACTGGACTCCGCATTTCTATTGTTTTTTTCTGTCTTTGGTTTCGTCTTGGTCCCACACACCGAGTCTGTCTTCCAGTCTTCGCCAAAGCTGGCCTGCCCGGCAACAGAGGCGGGACTAGGGAAAATTGGCAGGCTCAGTCCTTCAAGCTGATTGGATGGGCACTACCCACGCTGGCTGCTGTCTCCACTCAACGAGAAGGAACGTATCAGGTAAGACCAACGATCCTTCTAATCTCTGGGGGAATGATGTTCCAGAGAGAGGGAGCAACCACAGAGAAGGTTCTTTTTCTGGGTGTCACCAGGTGTATCTCCCTAGGGGATAGGACCTGCAACATTCCCTGCCTACCCACTCTGATGTGTTGGGTAGATGGGACCGGCAAGAGACGGTCCCTCAGATAACCTGATCCCAAGCCATTAAGGGCTTTAAAGGTGAAAACCAGCACCTTGAATTGCACCTAGAAGCAATTTGGCAGCCAATGCAGCTCCTGCAGGAGAGGTGACACATGTGTACACCGGAGTCTGCACAAAACCATACAGGCCGCTGCATTTTGCATCAACTGGATCTTCTGGATGTTCTTCAAGGGCAGCCCCATGTAGAGCGCATTGCAATAGTCAAGATGGGAAGTGACTAGGGCAATTGTGAGAAAAGATGTTGACTAGATAGACCAGAGCAATTGTGAGAAAAGACTGTTAACTAGACAGGTCAGAGGTCCTTCATTCTGTTACTTCTTGTACTTTTTACAACAATGTTTTTTCAACCTTGGCCTGAAGATGTGTGGACTTCAACTCTCAGAATTCCCCAGCCAGTGGGGAAATACACACTGTGGCTGGGGAAATCTGGGAGTGACACCCACACATCTTCAAGTAGCCAAGCTTGAGAAACACTGTATTAGATAAGCTATTTAGATTTTATTTGGTCCTCTTAGTTCCTGTTGACTGATTGACAGCATCCTTAGAAAGTAGGGTCAGATCTTAACGTTTTCTACACTCATATTCGTTTGCATCTGCTTTGCACTGAGAGTATAACCAGTTTGCCAATTCTCATTTCTGTGTGGTTTATGTAGGACAATTTTCTATTTTTTAAAAAGAACAGAGTGGCTTTACTGTTAGTGTTAGGATTGGCAACCTTTAGTTGGGCTGTCCTTGGAGTGCCCACAGTCTTGGGTAGCTCTATGATGCAAAGAAAATAGTACTGCTATGTGTTGAGGGGTGCATGTTTTATTAGTGTTCATTGTCATTATTAGTGGGGGTTTTTTCATAATGTTGAGTATATTTTTCAGCATAGTGCAGAATGGCAGAAAGTCATACTATATATTTTTGGATAGAGAGGGCAGATTCATGACATATCACAGAAGATTTTGCTATATATTTGGCAGTTGTTTATTATCTATTACATAGTTAAAGTAGTAAATGACAGTTGCCCATACCTCTGAGCTTATCTCATTTCACCCTTCTTAAGGTGATACCCAGATCTTGTGAGCTCAGCATGATTCAGTTCCCTTGTTTGTCCTCTGGCTTGAAACAGAATAGTATTTTCAGAGCCCTGGGATTATGATTGACCAAATGCTGAAGGGTGTTAAGAGGATGGGCAAAAATAAATAAATAAAAGAATGCAGAAAGATAAGTAATAATGGCAGCTGCTTGAAAAGAGTAAGACCATCTGAAGAACAGCTGTTAAAAATAAAAGTCATTGGTTAATGACTTTTGATCTGCTTCATTTTGCATCTGTCTTTGTGGTTGACAAAATAGACCACGTCATCTGACCGAGCTTATTTAGGAGGAGAATTGGGCAAATAGGTGACCAGAAATAAAGTTATAAGCCTGAAAAAGAAAACATACATGTATAACCAAGTTTAGTTGTCTACCTATATCTTCTTAAAAACATGAAAGTATTCATTTTCTAATAAAAATATGCAACTCATCTATAGTCAAGAAATGGGGGAGGGAGACAATGTAGTTCTATTTTTTTAAAGAATTAAGGAGTGAGAATGGATCAAATTTTAGTCTGGTTAAGCTTCATATCCATTCTTAGTAAAACAGTAGAAAGTTTTATTAAAGAGAAAATAATCAAAAATATACATAGAACTTGATTTAAAGCTTTTGCAAAGACTAGACTTGACTCAAAACCTTTAACTTGTAAACAAGCATATAAGTAAGGATAATTCAGTATGGTAACCTAGGACTTTCAGAAATGTTGAAAGTATATTTAGTAGACTTGATTTTGAGATGTCCTAAAATAGATTAAATAATCTTCGATTTTCAATAATCTGAGCAAGCCTTAAACACGCGAGTTATATTTTTTAAATTTCATGTATTGAATGAAATTGTAACATTTCACCCTTAGAGTCTCTGAGTGGAAAGAGGCAGATTAAATTAGATCTTCCCCTTTCATTTCTTGTCCTCTGACCAGACATTCCTGCAAGTTGAATTTACTGCCACAAATGATTGATATTCCAACCTTCAATAAATATCCTCTTGAGAACAGTAAAGCACATTGCAATTATAGGCTTCTTAAAGTTAAATGTTCTCATCTACATATTGAATGAGGATGAGCCCCTTATCTAAAGTTTCCTGTGATGTAAAGTGTGTTCTTGATCCTCCAGCCTTCACCCTTTTCTAAGTCATCCATATACTTCTTAGTGACAATAACTGTTAGTTTTGGGATATATTGCCAATTCATTCAGAAATCAGAGCTCAACTGGCCCAGCATTCTCATGGCCAATTAATTTTTTATATGCCAAGTTTCAGCAGGCTTGTTGGATGCTCAGCCAAGACTGGATATTCTCTTATGGAATTAGAATTTATAGAATATTACTTTAAACATCTTTGTGTTACATTCTTTGTGTATAATTGAATTCATGGTAGTCATGGTTGCATTAAAAAGTACCTACTTTTGGTACTTTGGGCGAAGGGAAGGAGGCAGGATCGAAGAGCAATGTTGTTGTAGATGCTCATCCAAATATGCAGCAAATATAGTTTAGAAATGCCATCTCCTCCCATTAAGTAGCTACTATGTTGTTTTTGATTCATTGCCGTATCTAAAGAAGGTGGACTGGAAGTCAACATATTTTATTTCTGTTGTGTTATACTGCTTTGGCAAACTTATTGATAAAGTTTAAAATACTTAATTTCTCAAAATGTCCTTCTATGTGAACAGTGTTTCTTCTGAGTTACTTAAAACCTTTTCTATCCAGATTGAGAAGCTGCAAAATCAGATAGAAAAGGAGAAACAAAGTAACCAAGACTTGGAGGCTTTAAGTGAAGAACTCTTGAAAGAAAAGCAAGATCTTAAGGACACAATGGAGGCTTTAAAAGCTGATCAAGAAAGACAGGTAGACATGTGGGTTTTGCCAAAGTTATTCCTAAAATATAACCAGTTGGGTGTTAGAAATTGTTGGCTTACATATATAACAGGAGGAGAAACATGTTTTTGCTGAATTCAAGGACTGAGCAGACTCAAAACAGAAAGCAGTTTATCCTTTTCCCTCCTCATATTTATAATATATTTAAATTGGTTGAAATGTTGACTTCTCCAGGAACTGTCTTTCTGGTTGAGTCACCTCAGTATAATGATTTAGAGTGATTGTTATGAGATGTCATATCAACTCACATTGCTATAGGTGTAATTGAGGTGCATGATTGCACACTGACATTGAGAAGACTGCAGCACCAGCCCTGTTGTTATTTTAAATGGTTTCAATTACTAATTGATATAAAAAATGTGTTAGAGATCAAACCATTGCCATCTAGTTCAGTAAATACAACAGAAGTTATGGATCTGGTACTCTTCCCAACTTTTTGAAGTGCAGCCCTGTAGTAAAATTGGCTCTTCAGAATTCTTTTGGATTCTAATAAGAATGTTGGTTGTGTTTAATTTTTTTTTATTCATGTTTTTAGACCATTTATTCTTTTAACTTTACTAAGCTTAGTCTTAAAAAATCTCCATTCCCACCCCACTCCAGGGGAAGGATAGTGTAAAATCTTGGTTCCCTCCCCAATCCAGGGGAAGGTTACTGCAAAATCCCCATTTCCTCCCAATCAGCTGGGACGTGGGAGGCAGAGAATAGATAGGGCGAGGCCAGCCAGAATTTTTACTACCAGTTCTCCGAACTACTCAAAATTTCTGCTACCGGTTCTCCAGAACTGGTCAGAACCTGCTGAAACCCACCTCTGCCACGGACCATTAGGACAGCAAAGCCCAATTTTATCTCAAGGATGGTCTCATTATACTAGGTAAAGCTCCTTTGCAAACAAAGGTACAGATAGTCCTTGACTTACAAAAGTTCATTTAGTGACCATTCAAATCAACAGCACCGAAAAAAGTGAATTATGACAGTTTTTCACACTTATGACTGTTGCGGCATAAGTGGTTGCAGTATCCCAGGATCATGTGATCCCCTTTGGCGACAATCTAAAAAGCAAAGTCAATGGGGAAGCCAAATTCATTTAACATCCGTGTTATTAACTTATTAGTTTATTTATTTATTTTATTTGTTTGTCAAACATGTACAAGATAGCAGGTATAGGTATAAATATAAACAAAGGAAGTAAATAACAACTGCAGTGATTCGTTTAACAACTGTGGCAAGAAAGGTCGTAAAATGGGACAAAACTCACGTATCAACTATCTCGCTTACCAAATTTTGGGCTCGATTGTGGTCGTAAGTCAAAGACTACTTGTATTTTGCCTGTATCCCACTCACTAGGAATTACATTCAATTCCTGGTATATTAACACATGCTAAGGCTACTGTGAGATGTTACCTGTTATCACTATATGTGGATAGAAAACCCCCCCCCCAAAATGTTTTAGTTCATAAATACCAAATATTGCTTCTTTGTATACCTGACTCAAATAAATATGCCTTCCAGAGTACCATTTGATGAAATGTATCTGTTTGAAATAATGCTTGGTTGTTCAACTGAATCATCTTATTCTTTTTCTCTTGAATTTTGGATTGAGTATGTATTCTGACACTGATTCTGATTCTTGGTGTTAGCAAACCCCATATGGCCTTCAGCCATTCCTCTAACATTTGTGCCATTGTCTTGGATAAAGACAAATGTCATATGACTCATTGTGTTAAATGTCATTTAAAAAAATAGAGTAAAAGCATGAATCCAACAATAACTTTTTTTTCTCATATACAGTTTGCTATAAAACAATCAATTTCATTTTATTAATCCAGATTTTCTTTTATCTAATATGAAATCTACAAGAGTGCTTTTTTGGTATATAATGGATGATCTTTTTTTTTTGTTCTGACTCTAGATACAAGACCTAGAAAAAGAAACTGACCACCTGAATCAAGTGGTTTTTTCTCTAAGACAGAGATCCCAAGTCAGTTCAGAGGCCAAAGTGAAAAACATTGAAATGGAAAACAAAATACTTCACGAGGCAGTTAGTGAGAGCAACAGCAAGCTCAGTAAGCTTGAATTTGAGAAAAAGCAGTTGCAAAAAGATTTTGAGCAAGTTAAAGAAAAAGTAGAAAGAGTAGAAGAAATGGATAAAGAGCTTCATCGGCTAGAAAGGGAGAATGACCAGCTTGCCAAAAAAGTTGCAGCCATGAAAATTACCACTGAGAAAGTAGAAGTACTTGAACAAGAAAACAAGGATCTGGAAGTAGAAAACAGAACGCTGAAAAAGTCTCTAGATACTTTGCACAATGTTTCCATCCAGCTGGAAAATTTAGAAAAGAATAATAAACAGCTAGATGACAAAAACCAGGAGCTCAGGCAAATTGTAGAAACTATGAAATTCACCAGTACAAAATTAGCCCAGATAGAGGCAGAAAACGAAGAGCTAGAAAAGGAAAAGGAAGAACTTCAAAAAAACATAATCATGCTGAAAGTTCTGCTCAAGAAATCAGAAAGGTTGGAGCTGAGTTACCAGAGTATGAATGCTGAGAATCAAAAGCTGCAGCAAATTCTAGAAAGTAGCAGTAAAAAAGTTCAACAGCTGGAAAAAGAACTCCAGGGTGTTGAAGATGACAATCAAAGTCTTCAGAGAAAATTGGAGGAACAGAAGATCTCAAGTAAGCAGGTGGAATGGTTGGAAAAAGAGAAGAAATTGTTGGAGCAAGAAGTGTTTCAATTGGATAAAGACAAAAAGATGCTGGAAAAAGAGACAAAGAGACTATGGCAGCAAGTAGAGCTAAAAGATGCTAACTTGGATGAGAATACTATAAAATTGACAACAATTGAAAAGGAATATAAGATTTTAGAAAGAGAACTTGCTAGAGTCAGTGATTCATCAAGTAAGATGAAGGAATTTGAAAAAAACAATAAAGATCTACAGAAGCAAGTTACTATTGATAAGAGAACTCTGGCTACATTAAGAGAGGTAAGCAAAATTTCACTGCCTACCATCTAATGAGGAATTAGGAAACCAGGATGTAGTGATTAAAAGCTTTACAACTTCCTCAGAAATAAGGAATAATGAATTGTAGGCAGTCATCACAGTCATTGATTGTATAATTCATGGAAGCCAATTGTTGATTCACGTCAGTAGTGGGATTCAAAAAATTTTTATTACTGGTTCTGTGGGTGTGGCTTGGTGGGCGTGGCAGCAGAAGAATATTGTAAAATCTCCATTCCCTCCCCACTCCAGGGAAAGGGTACTGTAAAATTTCAATTTCCTCCCCACTCCAGGGGAAGGATACTGTAAAATCTCCATTCCCACCAACTCCAGGGGAAGGTTACTGCAAAATCCCTATTTCCTCCCGATCAGCTGGAACTCGGGAGGCAGAGAATAGATGGGGGTGGGGCCAGTCAGAGGTGGTATTTATCTGTTCTCTGAAGTACTCAAAATTTCCTCTAAAGGTTCTCCAGGACTGGTTAGAACCTGCTGAATACCACCTCTGATTCACGTACAATACAACAAAGGCACAGATTTATCTTACGCTACAGTTCAGTTTAGTTTATCATGCTGTAGTATGTGCAAGCCTTCTGCAAAATCATGGAGCCTCTTTGTATGATGGGACATAATCAGTCTTTTTATGAACTATGGGTATTTCAAATTGGGCAGATTATTACATTATACAGTCAAGTTAATTTTAACATACTCAGATGTTCCATAACTGATGGCACTTCCCTTTATTTGAATGAAATGAGAAATCGCAATAGATTTTCTCATTTAATCATTGCTTGGCATAGAGTAGCTACTTTATTTTAGGAAAAAATCTTAAGTATTGTATAGAAGCTGAGAGATGATAATTCAAATTATGGAAGATCATGTTCCAAAAAAATATATTACTCTTCAGGTATGTTGAGCTACAACTGTTTTAGTTGCTCACTGTTTGTGAGAAGTGAAGTCCAATAGATTTGGAAAGTACCAGATATCTATAGAAAATGTCTGATTAAAATCACTGTGCAAGTAAGATTTCATGAAAATACAGCTACATCTAAAACCTTGATTAAAACATTTTGATGTACGTTTCTTCACAGTAAAATTGTGTACATGTTCACCACATTTTTTCCCCTAGCAGCCTTGGAAATTGTTTGTCATCATTGTTCCTATTTGCAGGATTTAGTCCTTGAGAAGTTGAAAAGCCAGAGGTTATCTAGTGAGATGGATAAATTGGACCAGGAACTAAACAAGATGGGATTAAATAAGGAGCTGCTTCTGCAGGATGATAATGGCAACAGTGATAAGTGAGAAGATAGTTTCTTTTCGAGTCTGTATTTTTCTGTGTTTTAACTTCTGTTCCTTTAGTCTCCTCCAGATTTTAGGCATATGTGCTTCTTTGCCATTGGAAGTTATAGTTGTCAGGTAGCTGGAAGAAAGTCCCGGATCTAATCTAAATCTTTTAAACAGGTGGTTTTCTTATTTAAACAAATGGCCTACAATTGGCAACAAAACTACCAGTTGAAAAAAAATTCTTAGATAGTAAGTTTCTGTAGAAGCATTCTTTCTTCCAATCACTGCTTGAAAGATTATGAAAGCTTCTTTAGATAAAGGATTTCAGTTAGTTTGTGGATAGTGGTCCAGATACCACATTACAATAAGTGGAGGGGGCCAGAATAAAAGCAAGAGGGACCAGGACAAAAATGAATTTAAGGTTGATAAATGTGTAAATCAAATTATAATCAAATTAGTCAAACACATGTATACTTAATACTTTCCCCTTGTATCAATTAAAAATTCTAATCCTATTGCACCTATCTTATGGGTATACTGGAAGTTTCACCCAGGGATTTCTGAAATGACGTGACATAATCACTATCAGAGATAATAGTATTTTTCCTCATCCTGGCTTGTCTCTCAGGTAAGCTCATTTGCATGGGACAAGCTTTACCCCTAATCTAATGTTGCAATTCTATACATTGTACATTGATCCTATTCGTTGATTTTTCCCAGATGAGAAAATAAAATACTGATATAAAGTAAATATATTTATTAGGCATTTGGCTAATACTTGCAAAACATGGACTTTGTTCTTTCATATATTTTCAGTTACTGACATGCTGTCCTTAACACCCCTCAGGAAATATAAAATCTTGGAAAGCCAAACTGAATGTATTCTAAAGACAACACTAGCTAGTAAAGAAGAGAAAATTGTTGCATTGGAGGCCAAACTACAAGAGTTTGTTAACTTAAACCAACAGTTACAGAACGAACTAAACATGGTAAGACAGAAACCCACAAACAATGCTCAATAGTAGCAAGTGACCCATGACAGGTCACCTATGAAATAATGCAAACCTTGATATATACAGAAGGTCTTCATCCTGATTATAAAAATGCTTTTGACCCTGTGCTTTCTAATCTATTGATGAAGGTCTCTGGTTTTTGTTTATGGCTTAGATCAGGGGTGTCAAGCTTGATTTCATTGAGGGCCGCATCAGCGTTGTATTTGACCTCGGGGGGGCCAGGATGGGCGTGGCTGCGGTGGGCGTTGCCAGCTCAACGTCACTCATGTCGGGGGTGCCTGTGATGGCCCAAGTGCTCTACCAGCGAAAACGGGCTCCCAAGCTCTGTTTTCAGCTGTGATGGCCTCCTGCAACTCTCTGCCAGTGAAAATGGAGTTCAGAAGGGCTGCACGTGACCCTCCCGTGCTCCATTTTAACTGGCAGAGGCACCACAGGCCAGTTCTTCACTGTTTCCAGGACAGCCCTGCGGGCCAGATCTAAGCACCCCCAGGCCAGATCCAGCCCCCGGGCCTTTAGTTTGATACCCCTGGTTTAGATCTCTATGCAGTTTTATTTTACAATTACCTAAAAGGGGTTTCTCCTAAATAATTACCTGTAATTTGGAAGGTGGGGTCATCTTACATTTCTTGAGAGTAGAAGATGCACTGTTCAAAGTGAAGGAATGATTAGGAGCTGCAAATTATGAAAACAAGTGCCTGAAAACAGGAGATGCTACTAGCATCGTTTCAAGTTCAATGGAGATGAACATACTAAGCTCTGCTCTCTTATTGTCTTCCACATGTAGGAAGTGAATGCAATGGATAATTTTTTTAAATTTATGAAATGTCTTCTCATGAATGAAAACAGAATCCTTAACCAAATATTCTTGTAATCCATTAATAGAGAGGTTCTCCTTTTCAGACATTTATTCTTTTCTATCCATGGAGGGAAAAGAAAAGAGAATTGATTAACATATGAATGGAACAGGACTAACATGTTACGGATTTTTACAGCAAAACTAAAAACTTCATGTTGATTGGGATGTATGAGTAAGCATACAGAGTACAGAGTAAGCATACATAGAAGATTGCAGTTCAATGAACGAAAGATCATTTTTCAAGTTTCTACCCCAGTTTACCCAGTGTAAGCTGCTCTAAATAAATCCATCCTCAGTACTGCAGTAATCTAGGCATACTTGCTTGACAGCAATAACTACTAAAAGTCTTATGCTTACTAAACATATATACACACATCTGTGTGCATGAGCATACATAAGCCCTTGTATAAATGGGTAACATGTATGTACTTCTTTTGGAGACAAAATCTCCAGAATTGATTTTAGTGGAAGTTGGTAAACATAGTTGACCATGTAGGGTTTTGGTCTGTATTTGTGAAATTTTTTTCCAATCTGGCACTGCTTTTGTTGGAGGATTATCTTAAATTTTGTGTCATCTTTTCAAGTAAATAACTGCACACGTTACAATCTTTGCCTACATTTACAGATGAGGAAGGATTTTGCATGTCTTAAGCAGAAGCAAGAAGAGGGAACTTTTATGCAGAAACTGAATCAACCGTTGGAAAACTGTCAGAAGGAAGCAACGATGGAGCTTCTCAAAGTGAAGGACAGAGCTATAGATCTAGAAAGGAATGTAAGATGTCAGCTGTGTGTGTTTATTTCTATTTTAGGTTACAAACAATTCACATATTTTAATTCATTATTGAGTTATATCTGAACATGTCTATGTACTGATTGAGTAGTGTCTGCCTACTCCTCCATGCATCTGCAGTTCTGAACATATTCTGTGCTAAGCTGCAACAAATACACATTTTTTATATTTCATTCTGAAATATTAACATTAACATTCCAGAAGCATATTATAATATATGAAGCATCCCTATGAATAATACTTTAAAATTATTTTCTTTATTGTGTTTCACCATTCTAAACATTTAACCTTTCTTTCAAGTTGGTGAAGTTGCCTAAATAAAAAGAGCGGAGAAGGCCTTCCTTCCTTTCATTGGGTGGTAGCATTTTTCATAATGATTGAATTGAAACAACTTTGCAGAGGATGCTGCGTCACTTTTATGGTGACTGTTTGTTCAATAAGAGCAATGGACAGTTCTGTACCGCCTCACTGCAACGCTACCTGAAAACAAGTATGGCAGTTGTGAATACAGTTGCCTTGTCAGCCAGTAGAACACAGGCATAACCAATACCCATCCTCTTGTGCAGATTGCAGGTGCTGCCATTTGAAAAAACCACGGAATGAGAGATGCTCTCTGACACAAACATAACAGTTAACTGTAACCCACCACCACCACCTGCCACTCCTGTGGGATATATAGCAAAACCTCGGTCATTTCAGATCTTAAGGTAGATTTCAAAAAGAAGCTGGACTGAGGACAGGAACTACCATAAATCACCTCAAATCTTCTAAGGCAGGGATCTCCAACCTTGGCAACTTTAAGACTTGTGGACTTCAATTTCCAGAATTCCTCAGCCAGTCTTAAAGTTGCCAAGGTTGGAGACCCCTGTTGTAAGGAATGTAGGGATATTAAAAAGACAATTCCTAGCTCATAATCTTCCATAGTAATTTCACAAAAAGAAAAAAAAAGATAAAATACAGGCAAGTGAAATAGGTACAGTCTTTGAGGTTGATGGACAGAAACAGGTGGGTTTCTTCTTTGCTGAATTGAACTTCCTGAGATTGTGGGGTGGCATTCCTACGACTTTTTATTCCCTCACCAGTGTCACCAGAATGGTTCCTCTATTGCTCTGCTGTCTTAGAACAATTAGCCGTTATAGCCAAATATATTTTCTAGTTATGGGGAAAGAAAGCAAACCCCACAAGTACTTTCTGTCCTGGATGATATAGTAGTTATATACTTTTTTTAAATATTTTTTTTATTTTCTTTTAATACAAACATTACATCATTCATTAAACTGTGTCGTCTGGGTACAAATTTTTTGTGTCATAACAGTTAAAGCTTACCACCATATTCATTATTATAGCTACTCTTATTTTAATACTAATACTTAATACTTAACATATCTATTGTTGTAACATTTCTCTTCTTAACTTATTTGATTTTATTATACATTACTTTCATATTTATTGTCTAACCACTGATAAAATATATCCCATATATTATAATAATCAGATTCTTCCTATCCTTTAATTGCAAGTGTTAAATCTATTCATTTCTGCACATTCCAATATTTTCTTTTTTTTTAATAAAATAATTTTTATTAAACAGTTTGTCTTTAAAAACAACACAAAAAAACAATCACACATGTATAAAAACAAGACATGTCAAGACTTAACGTATTAAACATTACATAACAATGGTAATTTTACAGCATTTTGTATCGACTTACGTATTTCGCTTTTGTAGTTTTCTATTCTATAATTTCTATTTACTACTCAATAGTAGGATAATCGTGTTACTCCAACACACACACACACACACGCTCTATAATATTCCAATATTTTCTTAACCATGTTTTCATCTGTAGGAATCTCTTCCCTTTCCAATTCTGTGCAAATACAATTCTAGCCTCAGTTATTACATGAATAATCAAATATACATTTTCTTTACTATAATTTCCTGGTAGAATCCCCAACAGGAATATCTCAGGTTTTAAATCAATATGCTGCTGCGTCATCTTCTCCAACCACATACAAATTCTTGCCCGATATAGCAGTTATATACTGTGTAGAAGTTGATCTCAGATTATGTGAGCATTTTATTCTCTCCTACCTTACCAGTTATTTTTTTCTCTCTTCAGAATGCAGCCCTGCAAACAGGGATAGAGCTGCATAAGGAGCAACTAGCACGTTTGGAAATGCAGAATGGCTCCCTCAACAGCCAGATCCTGACACTACAAAAGCAAAATGCTTTCCTTCAAGAGCATAACACTGCAATGCAAACACAAACAGCTAAACTGCAGGTCAGAAGAAATCTATCTGAAAATTTTTGGTTATTTTGTTTCAGAGGAAGCAGAAAATAAATATTTTCTATCGTTAATCCAAATTACTTTCAATTGTCGGTGTGATGTATCTTCCTTTCAACAACCTGCAAGGCAATAAATTGAGTAGCCTATACTTTTTGAGAAAATTGGAAAATGTTTGGATTTGATTTGTTAAAACGCTTTATTTTGCTTTTTCTAAGATAAAAAAACAAAGACAAGGCAAAAAAATAAATAAAAACCAAAAACATAGATTAAAAAAGAAGGAAAATTGTGTTTAAAATTGCCTTTCACTAAATGGAGTTTGTGGATGTTCTGATTAAGTTCCATGCAATGTAGTTCTAATAGTTGGAAGTAAGCCAGTAAGAAAATTCTTAAAGAGATAGAGCAAAGAGAGATATGGTAGGAAAGAGGAGCATATGTTTTAATAGACAATTTCAGAAACTGGATCACTCTTTGTAATAGTAGATTTGTCATTTTCTTTAGGTGGAGAATTCAACCATAAATTCCCAGAGCACATCCTTGATGACTCAGAATACCTTACTCCAGAATCAGCAGCTGGCCAAGGAGCATGAATACGACAACCTGCTGAAGCAGAAAGAGCAGCTCAAAGCAGAATATGAGTCCCTTCTTCAGGATCATGAACATCTCGTGTTGCTGCACGAACGGCAGTCTACAGAATATGAAACACTAATCAAACAGCACAGCAACCTAAAAACCTTGCACAAAAATCTTGACTTGGAGCACAAAGATCTAGGGGAAAGGTACAGGGTTTTACTTCGTAGTAGAAGTTTTCCTCTAGCTAATAACAGCAGATGGAGGGAAGATTATCATATGGTGAAAATCTGATCTTTATTATCATTACGGCCAGTGATGTTTAGATGATGTCCCTGAAGCATAAGTTCTTAAGTACAATAAATATCATTCAGAAACTTATCTTTTGGTAAAGTTAACGACATAACCATCATATCCATTCAAAATAACTTGTTTTGAAATGAATAAATACATATTTTAATAAAGTATCAGTATTGAGCTCTTGTTTGTTAAATTGGATTTGTTTGAAAATTTCATATAGGTCTCACAATATATATTATTGTATATACTGAAATTTGATTTATATATACATAATGTAGACAAAATTCAATAGTTCTGTTGATTTGAATGGGAACAAATGAAACATGCTTAAAAATAGTTAATAGTTGGGTGAAATAGTATGGAAGAACAACAGAATAAAAATTATTGTTAAAGAGAAATCTTGTTTAAACTTTCTATGCTGATTGTGGCAACCCGATCATATTCATTCAAAATAATTGGTATTGCCCCCTCTTTTGTTGAATTGGATTAGTTTGAAATTTTTATAGCGGCTTTATAATGTGTTTTAAGGCAAAATTGCACATATATATTTGTTTTATATAGATACTGCAGTTTAATTCAACACAAAACCGAACTGGAAGAAATGGAGATGATTTTAAAGACAGAAAAGGATGCTTTACAACAGGAGAAGAGAACAAGCACAATAATGACTGCAGAGAACCAGAAGCTTAGAGAAGAACTAGAAAGGTATCTGTTTTCAGAAATAATGCAGGCTGTTAATGTATATTAATGGGATAATTTGGTTGATTCATATCACTCTTAGAAATGTATACAAATGACTGCCTGCCTATTAGCTGAGAATCCTTAACATTTATGCTACAGTGGCTGCACCTGCTTACAATAACTATCTAGGTATGGAAGAGAAGGTTACTTTATATTAATTCATTAACTGTGTAGTTCTAAAAAGTCTTGAACTGTGGTATAAACCTGCTTTCCCAGTTGTGGGAAAGGACCTTCTACCAGACAAGCCTTAGGCTGTGGAATGTTCACCTGAATATGCCAAGTCCTTAGAAAATGGCAAAAGCCCATCTCTTTTACAACTCTTTTGTTAGTTGAATTGATCTTGATTTTAATCATATTGTTACTTTAATTTAAGTAATATAATAGGATATTAAGAAATTGAATAGGATATTCAAGTTTTGGGAATATAAATATATCTGTGTAGTAAAAACAATGGATTAAACCAAAGTTTTTGTTCTTGACCTTGTTAAGATTTGAATTCTACAAAAGTCAAAAGTAATTAACAGTGCTGTTGTGTATTTGAATGGGAGTGTTTTGCTTTTCTCTTTGAGGATGAATATCTCACACACCAAACTTAAAGCTGAGTACGAAGGGCTTCATAGTCACACTAAGGAGCTGAAAACATCCTTGAATAATTCTCAGCTAGAGCTGAACCGTTGGCAAGCTCGTTATGATGAACTGAAGGAGCAGCACCAGACTATGGATATCACCTTAACTAAACTGGACAACCACTGTGAGGTGAGTGCTATGTGTTATGAAAATCCAAAAATATTACGGCTCTAGGAAATATCACTGCAATTCAACAGATATAGTATGCATAATCTGTTAGAACTGATTTACTCTTAAAACCATGGGTTAGGATTGGAATTCATGTTCAATCCTAAAAAAATTGAATTGTGAGGAAAAAGAGGTCTTTAAAGCTCAGTGACAGTAGGGAGAAAAATCTTTCTAACCCTCCATTTACCCCATCTTAGAATTGTTTTTACTTTTTCTAGACTAGCAAAAGAAGAAAATAAAAATTCAACTCCATACAGATAGTTCTTGACTTACAATCACAACTGGGACTGTAATCGTGGTCACTGAGCAAAGTGGTGTTTCACTGCTGCATGACCCTAAACCTAGCACTTCTGGTTGTGGCCATTAAATGATCTTACAGGTTATTAAGCAGACAGAGTGTGGGGTACCTCAAGAGGCAGGAAGAAGACCCTGAGAGGCTCTGGAGCTGAAAATCCTCCCTGCTCAACTCCAAGCATGATTTTCAGCCCCCAAGCAGAAAGGCATCTATGCATGGAGTGATCCTGGCCTCCCCAGGCCTCCCCTGAAGCATCCTACACTCCTTTCCTTATCATGCTGCCTCTCCAGTCTCTGCTTGGATTTCACCTTCCTCTCATCTCTAAGGCTAGCTGAAAGAACTGCTTGCCAAAACAGTGCAGCTTTGCTCTATGAATGGAAAAGAACTCCTTCAGCATTCACATGTTCAAGATTTGAGCTCTGCTTCTGACCTCACTAAAGGCGTTTAGCTCCTCTCTATGGGCAGAAAGGAACTCCTTCAATGGGGCACAGGAACAGATCTTGATTCTGTATCCTTCCAAGGGAGTTCAGCTCTCCTTGACAAGCAGCTCTTTTAACCAGCCCTCCAGAGAGGAGAAGGAGCTTGCAAACTTCTCAGCAGTTTCTCAGCAACTTGCAAACTTCCCTGATGGCTTCCCCATTGACTTTCAGGGGAAGCTGGTAGAGAAGATTGCAAATGACAATCACATGGTTGCAGAGTGTTGACAACTGGTTGTAAGTGTGAAGATCGCCATCCTGTGACCACATTTGTGGTGGTACAACATTTTGCAATCCTTTCTAAGCAGTTGCAATTCCAAACTGTTGTAAGTCAATGACTACTTGAAATATCCTTTAAAATTTTCCCTGACTGCATTAGTATTGTAAGAAGGTAAAGGTAAAGGTTCCCCTCGCACATATGTGCTAGTCGTTTCTGACTCTAGTCTTAGTCATGTGGCTGTCATGACTAAAAGCCAAAGGCTCATGGAACGCTGTTACCTTCCCACCAAACGTGGTCCCTATTTTTCTACTTGCATTTTTTACATGCTTTCGAACTGCTAGGTTGGCAGAAGCTGGGACAAGTAACGGGAGCTCACCCTGTTACGCGGCACTAGGGATTCAAACCGCTGAACTGCCAACCTTTTGATCGACAAGCTCAGAGGCTTAGCCATTGAGCCACCGCATCCCTTCCATTTAGTATTGATTATGTCCAATTTTGCTCAGTGCTAATTGTGTATCTTAAGTGCTGGTGGTTGTATTATGAATGCTGGTACTGAAGTTCAAAGAACTGCTCACTGAGCAGAGATTTTTCATAAATAAAAGTCTTCGCTTTGATTGCTTTGCAACATGTGGACAAATGTGTGCAGAAAACCTCATCCATGGTATGTCTGTTAAATAGCTGCTTGCTCGACTAAAAGGAAACTTGGAAGAAGAGAATCATCACCTTCTCAGTCAAATCCAACTATTAAGTCATCAGAATCAAATGTTACTGGAGCAGAACATGGAGAATAAAGAACAATACCACGAGGAACAAAAGCAATATATGTAAGAGAAGTAATCCTTTTGCATACTGATCTTGACCTATGAGATTAATATTATGTCACAGGGATGAGGGAGCAGGAAAGCTTTTTAAAAGAGATCATTGCGGGCAGCCAAAAAGCAATGCATGAAATTTCTCTGCAACTGTAGCATGCTTTTGCTAAATGTAAGCGTACAGTTCATTGTGTATGTTTTAGTCTGATGTTTGGGTATGAAAATAGGTGCAAGTCATTGGACTTATTAAATGAAAAAAAAAAAAAGAAAGGTTTATTCCCAGTCACCATTGTTGTCAGCACCAATAATGCATGACGTGTTGTCCTATATGAGCTTTGATGTATAATTTCTGCTAGGGTCAAGTCATATCACAGTGTATTGTAATACTTGTCACCAGGTTCTTTGTGATTGATTGGTTGCTAGGTAGATAGATTGGGGAGGGAGGGAGAGGGAGAAGAAAGAAAGAGATAGATAGACAGACAGAAACAATCCTATTTATAGGCATATTTCTCAGGCAATATTTAAGTATGTTTAAGTATGTTTAAATTAGATATTAAGTTAGATATGACCTGAGAAGGATTTTTTATGTTGCTATCAGGGATATTGACTTCTTTTCCTGGAAAAATATTATAGTTCAATTTTAGCATTGTAATGTCTCCTCAGCAAATAACTGTAAATTTCTAATTTTCTCTTCATTATATGTTTTTTGTAACAGTGATAAATTAAATGCCTTAAGGAGACACAAAGAAAAATTGGAAGAGAAAATAATGGATCAATACAGGTTTTATGATCCAACTCCAAAAAAGTAAGTTTTATATAGGAAAATATGTCTTATTATCACATCCAAATCAATTCATAAGATACAAGCTGTACTTCAGTCATCACACTTTGACTTACTAAGTTGACATATGAATAAACCATGATGCCCTTTCTGTAAGTGAAAACGTGAGGAAGCCTTCACTTAGCTATAGGCTTCTGTTTCAGAAAAAATTATAGATAGTAGACAGTACATTAAATCAGTACTGCAAATTATACATCAAATTAAGATATGGTTTCTAAAACCCCAATTTTGGATGGACAATTGCATGTATAAGAATGGTTTCTAATTAGAATTAAATTCTGCATTGGATTTTCTTTTTAAATACAAAGTTAATCTAGGCATCAAAGCTTGCTCACACAGTTTAGTTAGTCATACTAAGAGGGAATTAAAGATATTTTCCAATAAAAGACATATGAAATCCTTGCAACCATTAACATACACAATACTAACTCAGTATATGTTGAAGAGATACATGGTTTTAGTGCAATTTAAAGGGAAGATTTCTAGCTCAGTTTTGAAATTAGGGTTGTTGGTGCTGTCTGAGCTTGGTTGTTTTCCTGCAAATGTTTCATTATCCAGGTTAGGTATAACATCACCAATAGTGTTACCTAGTTTGTATAATAAAACATCTTCAAGAAAGCAACCAAACTCAGAGAGCACCAATGATCCTTCATTAGTGAGATACATACGATATCAGACCTCCGGACTTTTCGTCGGGCCCTGAAAACACACTTATTCCATCTAGCCGGGCTGGCTTGATCCCATCCTCTCAGTTTTAATTGAATTCGGTTTTAATTGGGTTGTTTTAAATTTTGGGCTGAAATTATTTAATTGTTTTTTAAACTGTTTTTAAATTTTATATGCTATGTTTTATCTCGGCTGTACACCGCCCTGAATCCCGCAGGAGAGCGGCGGTATAAAAATAAAATAAAATAAATAAATAAAATAAATAAAATTAGTGCAAGTTAATAAGAATCTCAGTGCCAGCGTTCCAGAAAACCCCAACTCTGAGTAAAGACACGGAAGCAAGCATTTTCCAAAGTTCTCTTTACTAGAATAGGTAAACTGGCACATCTGGGAAAACCCGAATCTGAAAGGCCCGGGTTTTTCCTTAGTAAGTCAAACCCCCCAGAAACCATTCCCGAGTCGATCACATGCTCCAATCAACGTCCGTCCCAACTCGACTCAGCCCCCTGACCATTCTTTCTCCAGATGCTGGATCGCCCTGACCTTGACCGACAGGAAGAATGCTATTATGTCTACTAACAACCCCACTCCTTAATCCCCCTTCCTACTTCCCACACATGAGAAGGTGGCAGCAGAAGCTTCCGGCCTAATATGGCTTCCAAAGCTGAACATCAGGTTGCAGGGACATTACAGCTTTTCAATTTTTTTTCTATTCTACAATAAAACATTTTCTGCCGTTGTTAGGCTTTACAACTTTGCCAACATACACATGTACATGCACACACAAAAGATACAACCTGCTTGTTACATTTCCAACAATGCCAAATATTTATTTTAGCATGATATGCTGATAAAAGAGTGGAAAGTTCAACGGAAAAAAAATATGACATTTACTTCAAATATTTCCTAGAATAAGAGGTCACCCAATTCCAATAGAATCCTGGAAAAATATAGCAAGGGGGAAAAATACAGTGTGTAATTAAACTTTTGAATTTTCTACCACAAAATGTGCTGCCTACCAATTTGACTGCGTTCAAAAAACAGGTTGGACCATTTCATAGAAAACATAGGAATTCATGTGTGTTGCCTTGATGGCGATGTGCCATCTGCTGAAAAATTAGTGGGCTTCCTTGTGCCGTTGGTTGACCACTGGTCTAGATGGGTGAGGGGTACCAATGCACCAGAACACTGCTTATATTTTTACTATAACTCAGAGAGAGGTAGTAAAATATTTGGTAATTTGTAAATAGATTGGACCATAAGGACTTCTAGTTTTTTACCAAAAAGATTTTAAATAGATCTTTTATATGGTGACCCCATTTTATGGCCTTGATAAAAAAAGAACCTTTATAACCAACAGAATTCAAAAATATTCCATTTGTACCACTTGTTTTAAGTAATAATTAATTAATTAATTAATCTTACTTACTTTCTTGCTGTAGAGTAGCAGTCCCCAACCTTTTTGTGACTCTGTGGACCGGCCACTGTAGTGGGGGGGGGAGAGGGGGTGGTTTTGCAAGTACCTGCTGCTGGTGCATATGGAGCTTTGCCTGCCGCTTGCACAGTCCGGGCGTTGGGGATCCTTGTTGTAGAGAATGAGAAAATTAAGTGAAATAATTATTATTTAAAATGTAAGAGGAAAAATATTTCCAATAATAGGAAAAACCACTGGATAGGAGCTAAAGCCTTGGCTAAATTCATGAAGCCAAAGAAAGAGCCAACAAGAGAACGAGTGAAATCTTCAGCAGATAGTTCTCCATCTCAGTTAGAAAGCATGGAGACAGCAGGTTCACAATCTCCATCACAGCTACCCAAGCAACAGAAGAGTCTGGAAACTACCTCCAAAGAGTTCAGCTTCGTGGAGGACAAAGAGCATAAGGCAGGACCCATGGTCAAAGGTAGGCGTTGCATTTCATTGGAGAGTGAATTAGCTTTGTAGCACCATCCTGATTAGCTTTTGCTGACAATATTTTGTTAATTAAGAACATGTTGAGTTTGTAATCCAATTAATAATCCCTTATGTTTGGCGCTGATATCCTTTAGGCCTTTTAACAAAATGTGATTAAGTATCTAGGTGAAAGAGCTAGCCATAAATATAGACTTATGGATGGAAACTAATCAAGGAGAGAAGCAACCTAGAACTAAGGAGAAATTTCCTGATAGAACAATTAAGTGGAACAATATGCCTCCAGAAGTTGTGAATGCTCCAACACTGGAAGTTTTTAAGAAAATATTGGACAGCCATATCTGAAATGATATAGGGCAGTGATGGCTAACCTTTTCCAAACCAAGTGCCCAAAGCATGTGCATGTGCGCGCGAACACACGCGCATGCACCCAGACCCACAAAATGCAATGCGTGTGCAGGCCACATGCATATTCCCCATCCCTGCACATGCATACGTGGCCCCCGCGCATGCACGCATGGCCCCTGCATGCACCCTGTCATCCGTGCATGCTTGTGCACCTCCGCACATGCCCCACCCCCATGCCCCCTGTGTATACCCCATCCCCGCATGCATCCTGCCCCCTGCACATGTGTGTGTTCCCCCCCCCCATGCAGTGCCCTCCTCCACGCATATGCGGCAGAGAACCGAAGACCAGCTGGCCGGCAGGAGGCTCGCGTGCATGCGTAGCAGACCTGACCTAGGGCAACGACTCATGTGCCCACAAAAAGGGTGCTGCATGCCACCTCTGCCACGTGTGCCATAGGTTCGCCATCACGAGTATAGGGTTTCCTGCCTAAGCAGGGAGTTGGACTAGAAGACCTCCAAGGTCCCATCCAACCTCTGTTATACTGTTATTATGTTAAAGTGTTTTCCCTTTCCCTTCATCTATTTAGAAATATGGACTAGGGCAGAGTTGTTGACACCAATGTTGTGCAGATAAAAAGAATCCTTTGGCATGGGGTTCCTTGTCAGCTTCAGGCTCAAGCTTGCCACTTTGGAATTAATTCTGAAAATTAAGCAGGTGTTTCTTTCACAAAGACAAATACATTTGTTTTTTTGCAATGCAGGCTTTTTTTTTCTTAATACTTCAGTACAAAGTGCATCATAATTCTCAGCAACAAACAGGGCTTTTTTATGGTGAGACACTTGTCTTTAAAGCCCTTGGTATCCTGAAGATTTATTTTTACTATGGCGTCATAGATTTCCAAATTTTTTTTGTTGCCATTTTGTTGTTCTGTATATTATTTTTGTGTTCTTTTAAGGTTGTAGTGCTGTTCTTAGACTTGTATTTTAATTTTCTGTTTATTCTATCAGACACGTGGAGCTCTAATTAAACTATAACTGAACTATTGCACTATTGTTATATGCCATAATGTACATGCTAATTCTACGTGTTTATCAAGTATTATCTGCTTTACGCTACCTTCATAGTATAGGTGCATTCTGTTAATAAGCTCGGTTTCTAATTGCAATGATGAGTGATTTTTGCATATTGGGACTTTTCTATAAAGCAGAAACATTCCCCAGAGTTTGTTTGTAACCCGCCTAATTTTTCTGCATTGCAAAGTGTAGTCTGACTTGATGACAGCAGGGGGAGCAAAGAGAAGAGGATCAGCAACACAGATCCAAATATGAAAAATATGAAGGATCCTTAATAATATAATATTTGCTTATGTATTTTTTTGCATAATACGTCTCGGTAAAGAATTGAGTAGACTTCATTGATAATAATTGATGGGTAACATTTGCTTCAATTAAAAACATTTCTGGAATAGACCTGTCCCTAATTCTTACCTTGACTTAAGCACTACAAAACCAGGAAACTATGTTGATTATCGTAACACATGTTCTTGATCTGTACTGATACTGTACAAGTAGTCCTTGACTTATCATCACAATTGGGACCAGAGTTTCAGTCATTGGGTGAAGCAGCCATTAAGTGAGATGCCCCATGTGACTGCTTCATTCAGCAAACTACAATCCTGATTCTCCCAGTTGCGGTTGTTAACTGACCACTTGGATCATTAAGCAGACAGAGCGAAACAACTGCCTGTGAAAGCAGGGCAGGCAGCTTCCCTGTGCTGGACTGGAGAAACAAAGCTGAGATCTTTAGGGTGATCTTTCTCCATTCCAGTTCAGGAATTCTCCTCCCTTCCTTGTACAAGCAGAAGAGAACTCTGGCACTAGGCTGGAGAAACAAAACTGGAATCTTCACTTCCCTAGCCCAGTGCAGAAGTTTCCCCCACCCGTGTGGAAGGGAACTTCTGTGGCAAGCTGAGGAAAGAAATGAACCTTGGATCCCAAAGATCCAAGCTACATCTCTCCAGTCCAGAAAATATTTCCATCATCTGTGCAGTCCCTTCTTTGTGAGGTGCTTCAGGGCTTGGTATTCTCTCCCTTCTTATTTATCTTCTACATGAAGCTGTTGGATGAGGTCATCTGATGGTTCAGAGTGAGGTATCCTTAGTATGCTGATGATACCCAGCTTTATATCTCCATCCAGGTCACCATGAAGGCCTGAATGAGTAAAATAGGCTTCAACTCAACCCAAACAAAACCGAATATCTCTTTTGGATCTCTGGTTTCAGAGATCTTTCATGGGTTCTGGATGGGGTGGCAGTACCCTCAGACAGACCCAGTGTGCAAACTGGGCCTCATCCTGGACTTATGGCTCTTGCTCAAAGGCCAGGTAGTGGCCTCGAATAGGAGGGCCTTTGCACAGCTTCATGTTAAGTGCCAGTTAACACCTGTTTATGGACTGGGGAAGGGACTGCTCATGGTCACTCATGCCCTCCTAACCTCTATGTTAGATTACTGCAAGTGGCTTTATGTGGGGCTGCCCTTAAAGGGTATTCAGAAGCTTTGACTGGTGCAAAACGCAGCAGCATGGGCAGTTCCTGGAGCCAGTTACTGGCAGGAAAGGCATCCCCAGGTACCATCAGCTAGGGAGTACTGACTGGTGAGACCCAGAAGGAGAGCCTTTTCTGCCATGGCAGCCGCTCTTTGTAACATCATTCCCTCCCCTCTGAGATTAGATTGGTCCTGTCCTTATTGGCCTTTTGTAAAGCCTTGAAAACTTAACTTCGTGTTTGAGCCTGGGGTCTTGACCATGGGTTTGAGCTGGCTTCCTGGTTGTATGGATGATGCCTGGTTGCTGTATGGTTTTATTTTTGTTTTATATTATGTATTTTGTGTTGTTTTTATTGTAAGTTGCCTTGATTTTTATAAACTCAAATAAATAAATGTTTATCTCATAAAAGAAATTATAATGTATGTTTAATCATAAATAGTAGAGCAGCCTTTCTTAACAGTATTGTACCCTGGAGGAACTCTTGAAATACTTTTCAGGCCTCAGAGATCCTCTGCATAAAAATGAATATAGCTACATCTAGCATTGCCTAATGTGCAACCTTCAGAAAATGATGTGAGGGTTTTTTTCCCCAGCCACAAGCTATTGTGGAACAGCACTTGAGAAAGACTGTTCTAAAGGCTGCTGTTTACTATCTTACGTAAACCTTATCTGGTTAACAAGGGCTGTAGAAATGCTTAGTCCTTGTTCAGGTCAACAGTTTTCTTGGATGTTTGAAATTACGTTTTAGTTATTTCTGTTATTTTTTTCCCTTTTTTCTGGGGTCTCTGGGTGATAACACTTAGCAGTTCAGCGTAAAAAGATTGCCTTTTTGAGAAGCACAAGCAAGCCCAAGGAAAAGTCTCCAAAGTCTCCATCGAATAACTCATCTCTCTCTAATCGTCTCCGGTTCTGGTCATCTTCTGACATCCCATCCTCTCCTAATGAATCATTTTCTTTCTCAGAAACAAAAGATTTCTAACGTCTTCTCCTATCATTTATTCCCAATGCATTTCCAGTGTTTTATTTTTGAATAAATGAAATCTATAGCCCTTCTATACACAGTCATAGATGCTCAGCGTATAACTGAGACAGAATAAATGCAAGATCAAATCAAGTCAACACGGACAACATTTTCCCATCAGTAAAATGAAGGACCTTGTTGCACAATGTGGACTATTTCTTCAGTGCCGTACACTTTAATGGGGCATGACATACTGTACCTATAATTTTGCAAGTACTTTTGGTGATGGTGCACATACTGAGTAAGTGAACCTGTTGTGTACTACACTAATGCTTTGCAGATTTGCCCATGTGCCTCATGTCCTGTCCAGATGTTAAAATAGCTTTTTTGTTGCTGTGTCACTGGCAATGCATCCTTTTCATAATATTCTGTTCTGCGTTAAAAAATAACTCCTAACAAATTTTGCAATTTCTCCTATATCCATTGTGCTGCTTGTCTGTTGTCTAATATTATTGCGGTGTGAATATGAAAATATAGAGACCTCTGCCATTGATGAAAATAGCTTGATAATAATCTATGTCTTGCTTTTTTTTAAATGCTAAGCCAACCGTCACTTCAAAATAGGTATTAAAGTTGATTTTTGTTCTGATTGGCAAACACCATTGCAATCTGATAGTAAACAGCCACAGTTGCAGCTGTGCTTAGCCAGTTAACATTAAATGCCATAGCAGTGCATCAGAATGAACACTGTATTCAACAGATGCTTATCTACTTGCAACTACATGTAATTGATTTGTCTTCTGCTGCTTCAGCCATGGTTTGCTTGATTAAGTTTAGCATGCTACTTCAATAGCATGGAATGGTTTGTGCCTTTTCTTTGCTGTTTTAGTTGACTTAAAAATGTTATGCTCTTAGACCAGCTTTGCTATGAGTGATTTCAGGAGCTTCTACAATGCAGGAGAAATTATATATATAATTTTAGATAAATGGCTCAGTCTCCTTATATCTTTCTTAGACTTAAAAAAAAAAAGTAAATAACTGAGGTTTTACTATTTTACTTCTTGGATTATCTGTGCCACTTTGAATTTCATGTAGATAACTCTAAAAGAAGGTTTCTCAACTTTGGCCACTTGAAGATGTGTGAAGATTCTCCATGATAGCTGGAGAATTCTGGGAGTTGAAGTCCACACCTCTTCAAGTGGCTGAGATTGACAAACATTGCTCTTGAAACAAGTGGAATGTGAACGCTTCTAATTCATTCTTTAAAAAGTCAAGTAGGACATTTTTTTCCAGAAAAGAAGGAATTCTGTTCTCTCTCATAATAATGAATGATTTTTGCTTCATTACTATAGCAAATATATTTAGTGGAGTGGAATAGATTACAGTATTAAATCATATTAGCAACAGAAATCCCTAAAGGATATGATGTGTTGCAAATGTTGAACAGAAATATTGAACAGAGAGACTCAGAAGCCAAATTCTACTCAACTTTCTCTTTTTAAAAAATAAATAAATTCCACTTAATTTGGTATAATACTCCAAAACACTTGTGCTTAGGTTTTCAGCCAATAACTGAAGTGATTCCTCCCCTCCCCAAAATCATATGATATATATATATATAGCTCCTTCTGTTCCATAATGTATGTAAAGTGCTATTCATTCCTTTGTCACTCATTCTTGCTGATCTAAAATTAGGTTAGAAAATGGGATAAAAATAGATAATATCTGATCATAAATGAAAAGATTTTAAAATCAGAAGAATTTGATGGTACTGTTTTTCTCTAAGTATGCATTTCTAAGGCGATAAGAACCTATGTCTCTTGTCTCTCACTTCTTTAAATGTTTCAATGTTTTCCCATTTGATGTTAGGGGATTCAAATCTGAAGAGAGTTTCACATTGTGGAGGCAGCAATGACCACATTGAAAATACAAGAGATCCTGCTATTAAACAGTGCTATACGGACTCAGGTTCCAGGACTTTCTCTGCTCCAATCTCTAGACAACCGAACAGACCAAAAGGTAGGTGTATAGCATGTTTATCTTCATGGGGATTTTTTTTCCCAGTAAGATATTATTAGTTCCTGAGAAATGAAGTTCAGAAGAAAGAAAATTTTATGTATTTAAAACATTTACATAGCCACCCAACTAAAAAAAAACAAAAAACTTCAGGGTGGTTTGCAGCCAATAAAACAGTATAAAACAATATAAAACTAAAAGCAGAAAAACCTGACGCCACTATCACACTTCTCTGATGTACCCACATTCTCATACCACCTTGATCTTGCCCTATTCCAACCCTTGGCAGAAGAGCCAGGTTTTAACTGCTGTCTGGAAGGATAAGGGGATCTGTTGGATATCAAGGGGGAGAGTGTCCCATAGAGCAGGGGCTGCAATGGAAGAGGCATGCTTCCGAACATCCACAGATGGTAATGTTTAAGGGAAGGGATCTAGCTACTTTATCTTTGGTGAGGCAGACGTCCTTGAAGAGAAGCGAGCCTGCAGATAATGACTGACATTATACTAGCCAACTGAATATACCACATGTCAAAGAGCAAACAATACTTTTTTAAAAAAATGTTACATTTTTCAGGCCATAATTCAGATGATGACCTGTATGCTAATTCCTCTGCAGCACAACTTTCCAACAAGCAACACAGTAAGTTAAGCTCTTTGCTTTTGATTCTGGTCCTGGGGCTTGGATGGGAATGATCCTCAAATATTCAGGGTTATTTTCACAGAAGAAGATGGCTACAATAGGGTGAATGAAGTCAGCAAGTTCTATTTTAAAGGGAAGTTTTATCCCCAGTCCTTGAGGTTCAAAATAACATAACATGAGAAGAAATACAGACTTCTTTGGTGCTTTTGAAGATGTTTCTTGGAAGATAAGCAGTTGTTTTATCCTGAGGCACCTTAGTTCCTCTATCCTTTGCTGTCAATTCAGACAGGTATCAGTTTTCAGATAGAAAAACCCAACCTGAAAACGCTTGCCTGCAAAGTGTTTGCTCTACTATTGACCCATGTCCTCTAATAAATTGGTTTTAGATTATTCCAATGGAGAAACACGGTCTTCTTTCTTTCTAACCTGATGCAGCCTAGAAGCTGAGAATCCTCTCTCTCTCTGATTTTTTTGTTCTTTATTCTGTTTTTTTTTTTCTTTCTTTTTTTTAATTTCCTGCAGTGTCTGGGTCAGATAGCTTAGAGAACAGTGAAAATACATCCAGTAACAGCTCCCCTTTAAGCCTGAAAGGTATGATATTTTCCCAACAATATTCATGTACTACAGTCCCTTAATGATTAGGCAGGAATGTTCATACATTAAATCTTAATATTTTGGGTAAGGCTTGCATTTTCCCCCCTGCTCCGTAAAATGCAGATTCTATGGAATGCAAATAATAAATCAGTATTTGTATATATGGGTGCCTTTTATAAGGATGTGTCAAATATTTTTAATATAATAAAAGAAGGTGATTTTATATCTTTGAATTTCTTGATACAGGATCTTATGACTATATTCGTGACAGATCAGAAAGCTTTAGCAGTGAAGATATGGTGCTAATGAAAAATATGCTTGGCACATCTAGAGATGGTCTGTTTTGTTCCACCTCTTCTGCAGTTGTGGGCTCAAACACTAAACAGAGTTCCTCATTTAATAAGAATGGTGCATTGTTACATGATACATCTCAAAAAGGCAATCATGTACAGAAGCAATCTGTTAAGCACCAATCTGCCTCGCCGGGTAATGAGATGGTAACCTTAGAAGAATTCCTGGAAGAAAGCAACAGATTATCTCCAATGAAAGTAAGTAAATTATGCAGAAAACACATTGTTGTCTGTATGGAGATAGAAGATCATGAAAGGGAAATGCTACATTACATACTATGAGGCTCTGGTTGCTAGTGGAACAAGCAGGTTTATCCCACAGGCTGAATAAACCTTTGAATTCCACTAACAAGTCAGCCCCACCCCCACCCCCTCTCTCTCCCCCCCTCTCTCCCTCTCCCTCCCTCCCTCCCTGGTTCTGTTGATAAAAATTTATGGAAATTATTATTACTGAATGATATATCATGTTTATTTTTGTATTATATATAGGTAATTGTAGTAATTCAGTTTGTCACCATAGGAAGGAGAATGGAGGTAAAAATAAAGTATATAGACTCTTTTAAGAGTAGGGGTGGCCAATGTTTGACCCATATGGATCTTTTACTACTGCAATATACCTTTCAGACGGAAATATCAAAAAACTAAACTTGCATGCAGGCAAGGTTCTGACCTTTATTATATTTATGTACAAAACAACACTCCAGTGTTTGTTTGCTTGCTTGTTTTGTGAGGGGAAGACAAAAGTATAAGATGGGGTGCAAATTTAAAGGCTATAATTTTAAAAACAATTTTACTAGTTTTTCTCCTAGTAAATAGATGTTCTGACATGCCCTCCATGGCAGAGAAAGGTCCATCTTCAAAAAGAATACCCACTCCTTAACTAGGATGAAATGTTTGGTGGCCCTTAAAGAAAACAACCTGTATTTCTTGTTCTCATTGTTTCCATTAGGCTGTAATCCTTATAAGGTATTCACTTCTATGTACAATTAAAATGGACTTGTATTTATATTAATTTAAGATTGCAGTCCCATTCTCACTCTAAACATACTCAGATGTACTGACAGACATTAATCTCAATATGGTAGGAGGCAACTCAGTTCTGAAGCCTAGTTTTTATATAAGCTTATCTTCCTTCTATATTAATATAATATTTTAAAACAAGCAGGCTTATGAATATACTAAACTTTCTGCTGCCTTGCATTCTAGAAATGCATCCTAAGATTTTTTTACCATATTGGAAAGTTGGCTGTACAGTCATGCCCTGTTTCACTGGAATCTACTGCAAATCACTACAGCTCTAAAACATCCATTTGGCCTGGATTTTATGCCAGTTTGTTCTTCAATTGTGATTACACAAGCATTTTGTTTAAAACATTTTATATTGTCCTCTTTTCTGCTTAAAAATTATACTACTCAAGACCATCAAAATGTTTTCGGATTGTGTCTGTGTGTCTGCTTACAAGTAAACAGCTATGGATACTTAATGCATAAGTGCAGCTAGTTGCAAATAACTTAGTTTGGTCTAATCCTGCATTAAAACTGGTTTGTATTTCATATTATAGATAAGTTATTATGAAGAATAAGTATTTTTGTGATAAATAATTAATATTCATTCAATTACTGATTAACTTACTGCCCAGAGCTTCTCTGTGAGTGAAATAGGTATTTAAGAAGTTTAGTATATAAATAAATAAAATTTTATTTCAATCCTCTTTTTAGGATGTATCCAGTAAAGATGACTTGCTGAGTGACTATTTCAGAAAAGCCAGTGAGCTTCCATGCCCTGGAGGTCAGTTTCCACAGTCACACAGGAAGGAGCCAAGCAAGACACCTACCAGTTATGTCAGTCCAACTATAAAGTTGCCTGGCGCTGCTGAAGATGGAAGACCAGCTAAACCAGGCCACTACCTGAAACCAAATCCTGGACCATCAGAATCAGAACCTGTGGCAAACTCCAATAAGCTTACCCATGGACCTCGAAATCAAGCCAGTCGAGCATCAAAGCCATTGGCATCCTCTCAACAGAATAACAACATGGGCAGGCAGAGCGCTTCATTGAACCGGGCCTATAGCTTGGCTTCAGCAGATCTTCTGAGAGCCACTAGCGCTGATGTGTACAGACGATATGACAGTCTTCCAAAGCCTGTGGCTGCAGATAGGCAGATAGGCAAGGACTCAGACAGCCAGACTTCCCAGCTGCCTTTAGCGTCTATTTCTCAGAGCTTTCTGAGAGAAAGATCACAGCCTACAAAAATAATGGGTTCTTTGCAAAGTGTGGATTCTCGCTGTCGACAACTTGATGTCAGGCGCCTTTCTCTTGCCCCTCCGAAAGATGAGAGATCACTCTTGTTCCCTCCATTTTCTTTTTCTTCCACCACTTCTAAGGATGATCTTTCCTCTCAGCCACAGGAACTGGCAAAAGTAGATTTAGAGCAACACTGTTCTCCACAATATGGATCTAAAACCAAATCAAAGTCATTGTTGCAAAGTGGGGAGATCTCCACTGGGACTCCTGTCAGAATTGTTCCTAACAGTACAGAAGGGAACAATCTTCAGGGAGCTGGTTCAATTGACATTCACATTGCCAAATGCCCAAATCCATCACCAGAAAATAAAATTTTGGCAGAGGGCATTGAGGAAACAAACAAAGGGCTTGGTTCCAAGAACCCTCCTTCGTCAACCGAGCCCCCTGTTGATCAGCAAACGGTTTGGTATGAATATGGCTGTGTGTGACTCCACGCTTCTACTTTGCCGAGGATTGTATAAGATATGTTTCACTACTGAAAATTGAGTGACATCGGGTGACGCTGGGAGATTTGCTAAACACTGTTGTCTTAATTATCTTCTGGATGCTTTATACCTCAGTAGAAACAGGTATACTTGAGGTTTAAAACTGTAACAGTTCTGATGTCTAGAAGACAGAATGATTCAACCATCTCCTCTTCTTTCTCTTCTTCGATTCCAGGATCGTATTCCCATAGTCTGGGGTGCTTACTATTTGGTTCTCTTGTGCCTTTTGCAGGCCTTTTTCTTTTACTTTTTGGGAAATTGTATCTGTGTGCTTGTCTACTGAGCTCAAATCTTATTCACTTTACACACAATTGCTTGTTCTTTTTAAATGCTATCTTTTTACGATTCTAAAATATTATTTTGGCTGTTAAAAGCAGCATAATGCAAGTGTGTCGTCTTTGCACTGGTTACCTTATTACCAATTAGAGACTTCTTAAAATATCCTGGCTTCTTTGCTGCACTTAACACTAGTGCAGTACAGATGCTGCCGTTTTATATGTCTGTGATATTTTTATTGAAAACACTGGAAGTAATGCACCCTTATTGAGGGGCATAGTCTCCTTTAAATGACAACTTTCTTTGCACTGGGCCGATCTGTTTACCATTCCATGCATTCAATCACTTAATGGCCCCATTGGTTGCCTAGAGAACCTGTGTAGCCAGTCTGCCCTCCTAATGTGTACAGTTCTTTTGTCTAAATGATATATAGGAGATCTTTTAAAATGATGTCAATGGATATTGGAATGTTGAAGCTTACAAGCTATCTCAATAAACAATTGCAAGTTCAGGCTCTGGTTCTAATTTGGTCAGCATGATCTGTGTAGAAACCAGATTCCATTTATATACATATTTTTATGAAATCATATTTATATCCAGATGAAATATTTTATTGTATGAATTTCATTGGCTCCTTGTGCAGATCTCCTGTTTAATTGTTTGCTTATAAAGAGATTCTTTCTAACAGATTGACATAATCATAAAACTTCTCTGGATGTCATAGAAAAAACTGTAACAGATCTCACACACAACCAGTGATTAGAGTGTGTCATAGTTTATAGCAGTCACATTGTGAGAAGAGCAGGTATGTAATAAAGACTTTTTAAAATACAAATATCTGTCAAAACTGTCACTTTCTCCCAGAAAAAAAGTGTTATTAAGCGTTGTTCCAAAATGTAGGCTGTCACAATGCACACCCTTTTTAACAGAGCTTTAATATGTGTGAGTGTGTAGGCTGGTACCACCTTCTTCTAACTTCAGAGTATGATTCCCCATCTTTTAATATTTATAGAAGTGCTTGAGTTTACTTCCATAGTACAGCAAAGCCTACTAAATGCATTTCATAAATGTGTAATATTGTACATATTTTTCCAACGTAGACAAGAACAATGTTTGCTTTGTTAATTCAGCAATCAGTTACAGTTACCTAGCACATCTGAAAACAGCCATGTTGGGGAAGACAAATTCTACATAAGGTAAAGGTAAAGGTTCCCCTCGCACTTATGTGCTAGGCATTCCCGACTCTAGGAGGCAGTGCTCATCTCTGTTTCAAAGCCAAAGAGCCAGTGTTGTCCGAAGACGTCTCCGTGGTCATGTGGCCGGCATGACTAAACACCAAAGGCACACGGAACGCTGTTACCTTCCCACCAAATGTGGTCCCTATTTTTCTACTTGCATTTTTTACGTGCTTTTGAACTGCTAGGTTGGCAGAAGCTGGGAAAAGTAACGGGCGCTCACCCCATTACACGGCACTAGGGATTCAAACTGCTGAACTGTCGACCTTTCGATTGACAAGCTCAGCATCTTAGCCACTGAGCCACCGCATCCCTAAATGCTACATAGCTGTTAGTAAAGTTATATAAAAATTTCTTAACAGATTCTTAATGCAAGTTTGCTGTAAGAATTCTCTTTGAAGTGATGGATAGTCATGACAAAAACTCGAGTTATATTTAATGGAATTACTCCTTGATTTTGCATGAATGCAGTACAGTGTATTTCAGTGGAGATTATGTATCCAGTTTATATGGAAATAGTTTTGTGAATGCATGATAAATCTTAATACAAGCTTTAATAGATCTGGCCCCATTGCTTTCCTTGAGCACATCTCTAAATCCTTCACTTAAAACATGATTACACCCTTCACAACACTATTGGGAAGATATATGGCAATAATGCTGCCACCAGCCACTTCCCTGGAGACTTCCTCACTGTTTTGGTTTACTCTGGAGGGTGCAAGCAGCAATTTTCCTTTCATCAGTAGCTTGCCCATAGGAGAGAAATGTAGTTAGCATCAGGAATTCAAGTATTTATTATGTATATCAAGATTAAAGATGTACAAGAAAGTTAAAAGGAAACAAAGAAAAAGACGTGAACAATGAATATATGAAAAGGTTGAGTTTCCAATGCAGAAGATGATTAAAAAAGCCAGTGCATTCCTAGATTGCATAAATCAAAGACTATTGCCAAGTTCAAAAGAAGTAACTGTTCATTGAATGCATTGGTTATGTACCTTGAATGGTTATGTACAGCCAGCAATGGACACCAAATTTTAGGAAGGGCATTATTAAATTAGAATGTGACTAGAAGGGGTAACCAAAATAATAAGGCACCTGGAAGGATAAATATACCAAGAACAATTAGGGGTAATAGGTTTGCTTAGCTTGGAAAAGAGAAGAAAGGGAAATATACTTTTTTTTTTAATTGAAAAAGTTTTACAAATACAGATTTTTCCCCCTTTCCCTCCCTAACCCTCCCTTACCCTCCCCTACCCCCATGACTTCCCCAGGATGAAATCCAAATCCAAATCACATTATATAATACTTTACCGCCCATCTACTCTACCCCCTGTGTACTATACATTTCTTCCTAACATACAACTATTCTACCCCATATATACTATACATTTCTACACAACGTTCAGCTAAAAGTTATCTGGTACATCCTGGTTTAATATTTATTCTCCATAATCCATCCATTTCTCCACTCCCGTACATGGATCTCTTGGGTCCGGTCTTTTAAATATGCTGAAATCTTCGCCAAAAAACTGGCCACCTTCAAAGTCCATTCTTCAATAGTAAACATAACATCCCTTTCCCAATATTAACCAATCAATAACCTAGCTGCTATCACCATATACAATATCAATTTTATTTCACCCAGTGAAAAATCCTTAACTATACCCAATAAAAACAATTAAGGAAAAAATTGGAGTTTTTTCCTCAAAACATTTTACATAACCCATCAATTTTTTATCCAAACAGCCTTCACTTTCTTGCAGGTATATATGATAATATGTAACATCCAAACAATCACCTCAGATTAATCCCTTCTTCCAACAGAATATTTAATGTCCTTAATTACCATCTGCCCCCATCATTGAAGAACACTTCTATATATAACCCCCCCCCCGAGTGACTTTATATTTATATTCCGTATGATATAACCAAAAACCAACCACAACGGTCGTCTTTGTTTTTTCTTCTAATAATGTCTTTCATCTAAATTGTTAATTCCATAAATCGTGTTAGGGTAACAACCAGATCGTCTGCAAATGCCCTTGTTCTGTATTCCTCTTGCCTCATAGCTATTCCCTTCAACGCACTCATAGTCCCTCTTTCTCAAAGTTTATAATAGAAAGTTTCAATTCACTCGATCACAGGCCTTCTCCGCATCCAAAAACACCAGCACTGCAGGGATCTGTTTATTCCTCTCAAAATAGTCCAATAAATCTATAATTTGCCTCACATTATCTTTCATATATCTGCCTTCTATAAGTCCTGCTTAATCATAATGAATCACCTCTTAGATAACTGGCATTAATCTGTTGGCTAATACTTTTGCAAAAATTTTATGATCCGTATTCAAGAGAGATATTAGTCTAAAATTTTCTAATTTTGTAGAACCTGCTTCCTCTTAAGGGGGTATTTTACCCCCTTGTTATATTCGGCTTGGCTCCTCCCCTGGCTTCGAGTTTTTGTGTTTTATCCTTGACTCCCTTCTTGTATGGTGGCTTAAACCTCTGCTGTTGTTGTTTTTCTGGAATTTGTTTGTAGGCTGAAAAACTTATACGCTGATCTTTAGCTTTATAGCCCCCTGTGGCTCCTTGTGTTTCCATTGCTTCCATCTCCATCTGCTTCCGCTGCAGTTCAATCTCTTGTTCAAATTGCTTTTCTTTATCACCCTTCTGTATTCCTAACACTGAAGATGTACGTGGGGATGTTGGGCCAATTTTTAAAACATTGAGGTAAAATTCTTCCGCTTTTTCAAAAGTATTTAGTCGATATCTCTCTCCTTGATACCGCAATATTATGCCAACTGGAACATCCCATCTAAATGGAATTTGTTGTTTCTTTAATTCAGTCACCAAAAATCCAAAATCCTTTCTGTCTCTTAACATCTTAGGCGGAAGCTCTTTATAAATCCCAATCTGCCTTCCATCCACTTGTAAGGTAGAAACAAAAGACTTTTGCAGGATGTCATTTCTTATTCTTCTATCTATAAAGTAGATCACCACATCTCTAGGCAATTGCCTTTCCCTTGCCACCCACGAATTCACTCTAAACCTTGTCAATCTTGCGCAAAATCTCTTCAGGGCTAACCTTTAGCATCACAGCCAAGGCATCAGCACAAACCCTTCTCAAATCCTCTCTGTTATTTTCCTTTATGCCTCCCAATCTTACAGCAAACTCCATAAATCTAAATTGCATCATTGTCACTTCATTTTCAATCCTTTGCATTTTATTGTCCACATTAGAAATTTTATAATCAACTTCCTTCCTTTTGGATTCTACTTCTGAACTAAGTTCTTCCACTTTTTTGTCAATCTGGGCAATTACTTCTGAGAAGCCAGTCAAAACTGTCAGTATATCTTGCTTCACCTTGTCATACTTTTCTTGAACCACCTCCTTAATTTCCTGTTGAGATTTTTTAAACTTCTGATCCATAATTTCATCTTGTTTGATCAGAGCCGCATCAATAAATTCCTTCAAATCTTCAAAACCAGTCTCCTTTATCTGGCTCTGTGTCTGCAAGCTGGAAGGCTGGTCTTGTGACTTAGAAGTGGGGGAGCCCCCCCCCACAGCTTTAGTGTCTGTCTTTGTTTGCTTTGAAGCCATTCTGCCATGTAGTCTAGCTTTTTCTAAAAAAGGAAGTCTTCCCTTTTCACCACCACAAAGTCCTCTCAAAATTTTCCCCAACTTTAATCAATTAAGGGAAAAAGAATAGATCAAAATCTCTTTAAAAAGGACTTTTCCGTTTTCTTTTAGCCAGCGCTGTTACTTTAATTACTTTGTAGCATATTGAAACAATCATGCAAATCCACTTTCGCTTTCAGCTTTTCCTAGCGCTGAAGCCGGACGCCATTTTAACAAACTTTCACTCTTTCTCCATTCTTTAGGTTCAATCACAGGGCTAGTACAAATACTTGCAGTTTTAAGTTTCAGGTCCTGATTCCAACCTGTTTATTTTGATAATTCTCTTTACTTTCGCTGATGAAGTTGGTCGCGTCGTCTGGCTCTGCAGGATGCAGAGTTGTCCCTGAAGTCCGGAGCCTCGGCGAGCTGAATAGGGAGCCTCATCCTGCTTCCTCCCCAGAAGCAAAAAAGGCAATCTGGGGACTTCACAGGGGGCTCTACCTGATCTCGCCGGCTCTCCTCACTGTTCCTGTGGAACTCGGAGTTTTTTGAGCCGCCTCTCAGCTGTAGAGGCGGCTCTTTACGGACGGCGGGGCTGGCAGTCTTGAGGAGACCGTCTAGCGACGGCGGCGGCACCAACCGGAAGCCTACAGGGAAATATACTTGATGATAAACTATATGAAGCTTACAATGTGATTGGACTACAAAAAACAAATATTGTTTTAGGCTTCATCGATACATGCATAATTTCCATATCATAGGAAGTAATAGTTCTGCCATACTGGACTTCAAATCAGATTTTGTGTCCAGTTCTGGGCAACATCTTTAAAACAATTTTTAAAAGAGATTACCAAACTGAATTTATGTTTAGCTTTGAGAACGGGAAAACCCAACTGAGATCAGGTATGATAACATACAGATGTACCAGTACCTCTTGTCTGTGATCCCAGAGTGCAGGACATGGAATAATAATCTTAACTTA